ATCTGACGATCTTTGATGAAGCCATTTTGAGACTGAGAGATGATCGAGGGCAAGACTCTACTAAGCCTATTGGCTAGTATCTTGGCAATGATTTTATATACTACTTGACAAAGGCTAATAGGTCTGAGATTTTTCATAGTACGAACTTCCGACCCTTTTGGCACTAAGGAGATCCAAGTTCTATTAAAACTTCTCAACAGTTTTCCCGTACGAAAGAATGCTAGGACTGCCTGAGTAACATCTTGTCCAACCATGGGCCAATAGTGTTGAAAGAAACCAGCTGTGAATCCATCTGGTCCTGGGGCTTGAGTTTTCCCCATACTGAAGACTACTTTTTTGATTTCCTCAACAGAGATGGGAGCTATCAATCCATAGTTCTGATCTTCTGTAAGGTAGTTTGTGAAAACTAGGTTGGACAGATTTATGTCGCTCGGATTTTGACTTTGGAAAAGCCCTCGATAATATCTTTCAGTTATGCCACATTTTTCTACTTCGGAGGTACACCACTGTCCTCTTTCATCCTCGAGTCCCCAAATTACATTGTTTAGGCGCCTTGACGAGGCAACTAGGTGGAAATATGGAGTATTTTTATCGCCCACTTTTAACCAATTAGTACGAGACTTCTGTTTCCAATAGATCTCTTCTCTTTTATATTGAATGGACAAGCTTTCTTCCAAGGAACCCTCCTCTTGATGCATTATAAAAATAGTGTGTAATTAAGGGGTCGTTTGCTTGATGGATTTGGGTCATGGATTTGGGACTCAAATCCCAAGCATGATGGATTTTAGTCAAGTCCATTGTTTGTTGTTAGGTGTTAAATCCGTGGGGTCCACGGATTTGTTCCCCTTTTTTGGATCCAAATCCGTGGACCTCACGGACTTGTAAATCCCACATATTGGGGTGGGATTTGTAAATCCTTGATGACTAGTTATATTTATAGCAAATCCATCATAATAATATCATCAAATCTATCATGCAAACAATAGACTCTTCAAATCCATGATGGTACAAATCCCTCATAAATCCAAAGGTTTTTTTGAGCCAAAACCCTCATTTTTCAAATCCAACAAGCAAACGACCCGTAAATTGGTTCGGTTAGTGTGTAATTAAATTGGTGACCTGGGATAACATTATTACCCACCCGAAGTTAGTGGCTGACGTGTCCTGAAAGAGAAGCAATAGCTTTCAAAAAAAAAAAAAAAGCAATAGCACCACCAGTTTAGGCGAAGAAGTCAGGGAAGTAATTGACAAAATAACCCACCCGAAGTATGCGGGCTAAGCAGTACAGGCTGAGGTGGCAAAATATTTGTATTGACATTCCCTTATATTTATTTGTAGATTTGTAGATGTAGATTGGGAAGAGGGTGCTGACAGTAATTTCATCCGATCGCCACCCCGCAACGAACTCTTCATTAACGCGTCGAAAAAGAAAAGCTGGAGAATTACCAAAACCACCCTCGCAACGAGAAAAGCAATAGCGATAAGGAATAGCGGCGTGCAACGTCGACGCGCCAACCGGCGATCTCTCCAACCACCACCACCGCCATTGTCCAGTGCCACCACACGCTTACCTCACTCTTCCAAGAAAGAGATAGAGACGGAGAGAGAGAGAGAGAGAGAGAGAGCGGAACAGAAATCTTCTTCGACCCACCACACCAACGCCATTTCCTTACGCCTAAGTACCCACGACCTAAACCACTTCCCCCACCTAAATCTTCCCTGGAAAAGCAATCTTTCCCCTTTTCCCCCATTTCTTCTGGACTCTCTGAATTCCGCGTTTCTTAACATCTTCTCCCTTCCAAGCCACTTCTTGGGTTCCTGTCAATTCTATATACAGCGGCTGCTCTGATTCCGCAATTCCCACTTCTTGAAACTCTGTCTCGTGCTCTGCGATTACTGGAGAGGGGAATTTTCAGGGGGGAAGTATGCCGTCGGAGGATCTAGAGCGAGGGAGGAAGAACGGTGGAGGAGGAGGGAATGGTACCAGCGTGGCTCCTTACTCTGCCGATACTTCCGAGAAGCACTGGACTTCATGGCTGGTGCCCATGTTTGTGTTTGCAAATGTTGCCGTGTTCATTGTGGCGATGTATGTCAACAATTGTCCTCGCAACAATATCGGGTTTGAAGGGAAGTGTGTGGCTAGGTTCCTCGGGAGGTTATCTTTTCAGCCTCTGAGGGAGAATCCTCTTTTTGGGCCATCTTCTTCAACGTGAGTTCCTGAGATTCCACTTTCCCCATCGTTTACTTTTTGCCTCCTCTTTCCGTTGAATGTTAGTTGCGGACTTTTGATGCTTTATTCTTCTTTGATTTGGGTTTGTTCCGCATGAGTGTTGACTTTATTGGGTTTGCTTTGCGTAATTGAGAATGATGATATTCTAATTGGTTTGTGGAGTTCGTGGTTGATCTGGTTTTTGTTTTAATGGTGGTTGTGATGCTTGCTTTGCTACATTTGGTGATCGGTGAGGAAGTTCGGTTGATCCAACGAGGATGTTGGCTTCATAATTAAGTATATAGCATTACAGATTCATAGGGTTGATTGTCATTGAGGTACGGAAATAGTAGACCGTTTATTTAACAGATGAAGCATCAATGGTTCTGTTGTCAGTTCATCCGATGTACTTGCAGACTATTGATTTGAGATTGAGTTTGCCCTCATAGATATCATTAGTTGCTCTTTATTGAGTTGAAGGGAGCGGGAACACTATAATGGAGATAGTATTTTTGATGTTTGCATCCTCTACTGTTTTTTGTGTCATCCCACATAGGTGTTCAACATGTGATAAGGTGTTCTTTGGGTTTGAAGAACTGGCCCTGTTTTTTGTGTCATCCCACATAGGTGTTCAACACTTCAACTTAAGGGAATGTCCTTTCCGTGTGTGTGTTCTTATGAGCTTTTGAATGAGTACTTGTTTTGTTTCCTGAAATACAAACTGTTACTTATAGTCCTTCTCTTTGCCGGGAGTCATTTTCTCTTTCTATGCTATTGCTTAGTACATGAAGAACACTGTCAGATAATAGTTACCATGACAATTTTGGACATTTTCGACCTGCTGAATTCTTAAGATACTTTATTTGACTTTTGCAGACTGGAAAAGATGGGAGCTTTGGAATGGGATAGAGTAGTGCATAAGCATCAAGGTTGGAGACTTGTTACTTGCATGTGGTTGCATGCTGGAGTCATTCATCTTCTTGCCAATATGTTGAGCTTGGTCTTTATTGGAATTCGGCTCGAGCAGCAATTCGGATTCGGTATGTGATGTTCCCCTTTATGCAATTACTGCTCTTTTCATTCCTGCAATCAGAATATTCTTAAAGGAGATGTTTGCCTTGACTTTGGTAGTAACTTAGTGAACATTGGGTTAGTATTGCCCACACGTGTATATAGAGGCAAAGCAACTCAAAGCCACTAATTACTTGTGTCATATCAGAGCATCCACCACCAAAAAGGGTGTGCTCCTCTTTTCTTTGGACTTTGAATTCAAGCATTTTAACTACTTCAGTTATCATATGGCAGTGCGAGTTGGGATTATCTACCTGCTAGCAGGACTTGGTGGTAGCATATTGTCGGCCTTGTTCATTCAGAAGAACATCTCAGTTGGTGCCTCGGGTGCTCTGTTTGGACTTCTGGGAGCCATGTTATCCGAGCTTCTTACCAATTGGACTATCTATAGCAATAAGGTTTATGCTCCTTAATCTTGAAAATGAATTCATCAATTGATTGAAGCTTCGACCCCTACTAATTCTCTCTTCCTTCCTCTCACAGATTGCTGCTCTGCTGACTCTACTTGTCATCATTGTCATCAACTTAGCAGTGGGAATTCTTCCACACGTGGACAACTTCGCCCACATCGGCGGCTTCCTGGCCGGTTTCCTTCTCGGGTTTGTGTTTCTGATCCGCCCACAGTTCGGCTGGGTCGAAAGCCGGCACCTGCCACCTGGCGCCCGTGTTAAATCCAAGCACAAGGCTTACCAATATGCGTTGTGGCTGATCTCTGCAGTGCTCCTGATCGTTGTGTAAGTTCTAAACCACCCCAAGGCTTCTTCCTCCTTCATTATCCAAACGCTCAAAGAACCTGACTTTGGTTCCATTTCTCGTGCTTCTTGACAGCTTCGTTCTTGGATTGGTGATGTTATTCAAAGGAGAGAATGGAAACGACCACTGCAGCTGGTGTCATTACCTGAGCTGCGTGCCTACTTCACGATGGAACTGTCAGCGCTGAGAGTATCTCAGTCCATGTTTCCGTGTCTTTCAGTATCAGTCTATATAATCTTTTTCTCCCAGTCTTTAATTCTTTTGTTTCATTCCTCCCCACTTTGTTGCTTCGAACTTGTTTACGGTTTGTGTACATGCCTTGTGCATATAGTTTTTCTTTCAATGAACACGTATAAACAGCGTAGTATTATGTACAGAACGGTTTTCCACCGGAATTTCCTTCCAATTTCCGGAGTACATTACTACATTTAGCTGATTGGTCCTACAAGTTGGTTAAATTTGATTACAGCATCCTTGTAGTAGATAAGGTTTTTTTTTTGTTCCCTTTGTGTCTAAATTTTGAGAAACTCCTTGTACCAGGATGGACATGTCACATGGTTTGTTCAATCGTGTTGAAATGGCATAAGAAGAGATCATTGGTACTTGCTTGTTGGATATGAAAATGAAGATTTTAGGTATTGAAATATTTTGGATTTATGATAATTTGGTGTATTATGGATTTGAAAAAATTCATTATTTGTTTGGTTGATTTTTTGTTATGGATTTGAAGGTTTTTGTACTATTGTCTCAAAAAAATTGTCTTCCATAATCAAATACAATATAAAATGTGGTTTCTACAGATTCACGAGATCCGCGAATTTGTAGCTAACAAATTTTCAAATTGGTAATGCAATTATATCGATAACACTTGACTCATCGTCATGGTTTAAATTTCACGTTTATGGTTAAGAGAATCTAATAGAACTGAAATAAATTTTTTTTGAACAATATGAGGTCAAAGCAAAATCACATTTTCTTTTAAGTTCTACAAAATTCAAGTGAGCACACATTTCCTTCAATCGAAAACCAAATTGTTTTCAAAATCTACGGTCCACTGATACTATACATACGATTATACAGATGCTTGTAGTGGATCCCCATCTGCTACCCATTATTCTTGGAAATGGCCGTGCACTAGCACTGCACAATGTAATGACAAGTGGTGGTTCCAACGTGGGGGCCATAGCTGAAATCAAATCCGAAGCTTCTTCAATCACCAAGTCCCATGACATGTCTCCTAATCAATGTTTTTGTTATCCGATCTGCTCGATAGAGTTGCATCCGTTTCAGCAAAAATAAACATGGCACCTTCCTCAGTTATCACTTCGTCGACACAACCACCGACAGATAGTCACTTGACCCCATTACTTCATTGTACATACTTCCCAAATCTCCCATCTCTAGCTGCCCTTTCTTTTGGATCTAGATTCTAGACCTGTAGACAAATGCCTTTCAACTTGAAGACAAAACCATGTTAATAACATTAGAGAGATTTCTTGGTCCCGTGACAGAAAACAATCCCCTACAGATCAACCTAAGTTAGCCTAAGGCTACAAATTCTACTGCTAAAGCTAGCATCTCTGCCACATGGGCATTCCCATCTGGTCCAGCCTACCCGAACCAGGGTAACCTTTACTCGAGAAGCTTGATTTCACAGCAGAAGCCCTCTGCGCGCTGCTCGATCTCGGCTCCCCAGACCTCTTGCCAGAACCTGACCTCTCGTACTGGGGTGGCCTCTGCTTCGGAGCACTCAGCGATCTGGCTTTGGCCCTTGCTGACTCGGTATAAGACATGTAGTTCGGGTGGTCTGCGAATGCACTCAGAAAACTGCTTCTTGACCCGTCGCTCCGCGTGGGGGTGAAGGGGCTCCTCCTCCCACCACGCGAAGATGCAGCAGAGAACACCTGCGGGCTGTTCTCCGCAGTGCAGAACACTTCCTGATCGACCTCCGGAGGGTACATTGTGGATTGGACTTCGCCGGAGGTGGGGCTCGGGCATGTGTCCTTTGATGTAGTGAAGCTCTGGCTGTACTGGTCGTAGAAGAAGCTTAGGTTGGCTGAGTGGAACATGTTCCTTCTTTTATCCTGGCCATGATGGTGGTGGTATTGGTACCTCCCTCCACCATTGTCGATTTCCAGGATCTTGTCGCTGTTGTTCTTCACGTCCTCCTCCATTGCCACTGCTCGAGGGTCCCAGGACCGGCGGTCTGATCGAGTTTCTGACCTTCTTAGGGAGGAATGTGGCTTGTTGTCGTTGGATCTTGACCCGGTCCTCTGCTATTCAAATTAAATGCAATCAGACAAGAACCCACACGATGAACACAACTATGTCTATCTGCAGTATGAAAGCAAAAAGGACTATTTTTTTTTACCTTGAGCAATGATGAAGGTTCATATTTGCCACTCTTGGTACGGTTTCCATGTTCAAATTTTTCAGGGGTAGCTGGTCCCTGCAGCCCGCTCAAAATTTAATTCAGCATCATCAATCAAAACCATTATTCATTGCAAAAAAAAAAAAAAAAAAACAGTGGCAGAAAGATCAAAAGTGAAAAGGCTGAACTTTTAAAGACAGCGCAACTTTTCTATATAGTAATGGATTTGGCTGGCTGTCTAGAGCTCCGAAATAAAGGAGCTTCCCCGCACTTAGACAAAAACCCATTCATAAAAGTAGCAAAAGGTCTCAACTTTTCTTCTTTAACGCTGTTTTTAGAAGGGGCGGAAAGGTAAAGCCTGGAGAAAGTGGGATTAGTAATTAATTCTTTTTACCTGGTGATGGTGGTGGTGGTGATGAGAATGAGAATGAGAAGATTTGCCGCCGCTAGACTGAGATGACTCGGAGACTTGCAATCGTCCAACGCGGGCTCGTGCCTGTGCTAGCAACACTGCCTGCATCTGCTGCAGCCAAGCTGCTGTTCTCTTCCGCTCAATATGACCTCTTACCAATGCCTGTAGCCTGACCAGTGCTCTTAATGCCTTCAGAGCTCTCCTTGCCTTCACAAAGCAAGTCAAAGATCAATCATAATAAGTCACATTATTGAATAAGATCAAGCTTCAATTAGGTTTACAGGACTAATCATTTGTAAAATGTTTGATCAATTTGCGCAGCAAGCAGGGTTTCAAATTCTGGCGCCAGATGAATAATAGGTGGAGGGAAATGGAGCAGGAGGTAGCCATTAAAATAAATATAAGGTAGATAGCAAAATGATGTTAGAAAATGACGTCTCACTAGCCGCCCACTCTACACGAGATAGAGAGCAGAGAAAAAGTGATATGAAGAAGATGATGATGAAATTTTGCAGGCAGGTTAGATTCGACAGGCTCTCTCTGTGTACCTGCCTGCAAAAAGCACTCTACTCTGAACCACGACTCGACTCGTCAATCACTCGTCAAAAAGACAAAAACTTAACCCCCCGCCCCCTCAACTTTTTAATACCTTGGAAAAGGTCGTTCATCATCACCAAACTACTACACAAAAGCAACCAAATCCCACCACAAGAGGAAGAAACTTCTACTTCTTCTTCTTCCCACATCCATTTGGGTCCCCACAGTCCTCCAACTATAGCCCAATAATCTCCCTCTAATTAGATGCAGAAATTTCCAAGGATTCAGTGGGTCCTGAAAGACTAATAAACCAAAACCCAACGGTGATTACGATGGGATTATGAGAAGTTCATCATGAGGACTCCTTTTCCGCATGATAACAAAAACCCATAATCTAATGACATTTTAATAACAACCCACATGAATATATATCATTATTATTCTAATAAATTACAGTTTATCATCCCCTAGAAATAAACCCAAAGTTCCCATGGTTTGGTTAATCCTTATATCAATTTGCAAGCTATACCTAAATTACTAGAATACCCAAACAAATATGGCTACCTTCTGAGGAATTATTGGGAAAAGAACAGAAGGAAACAAAGTACAAGGCAGCCATTAATTTCCTCCTTCCCCCATCGAAACGGCCAACCTCATAAGCGGAAGGGAAACACCAAAAATAGATATTATCGGAAGCGCAATTAACCATGGCAATAATTAATAGCAGCGAAATTTTCGATAAGAGGGCACCCACATGCGCACCCACCGGGCCGGCGCAGAATAGCGACGACGACGACAGACGACCGGTGATGCCGTGTGGCGTGTAAAACTCAATAATGGGAGTTGAAATAGGTAAAAAAAAATTAAATAAGGAAGTGAAAACTTTGGGGTCAAGCTCCAAGTAGCAGAGAATTTGGACGTTTTCAGGAAAACGACACGGGAGTAACAGCTCATACGACACCCGTAGGGGAAGGCGGAAAAAGAGCAGTAGAGTGTGGCAGTGTGTGTAGGGAGAGAAGGAAAACGACGCCGTCGCACGGCTGCCAGATTCTCTTGAATTACAGATCAGGTGAACTGAAGAGGAAGGAAGGAAGACGACGACGGGAATATTGACACGTGGCGGATGCGGTGGCAATTAGATTAACTCTGAACGGGAAATGGGGGGAACGGAAGAATGAAAATAGGGATTTGAGAAATTTCAGGAATGAATTATGAACATGTATATATTTTATTCAAAATTTATAAATTAAATTAAATGCAAGAGGAAGGGATTAATGTTTGTCTATTTACTCACCAAATAGCCTCGGAAAGCTGCTTGGATCTTAAGCGCGGCGAAATCCTCACGGAGCCCGAGGCTCCCGCTGACGTACGCCGACGAGCAACCCCCGCCGCTCCCGGCGACGACGCTACATTCCCCGGCGGACCTCCCACTGCTGGTCAGCCGGACGACCACCGCTGCCGCGTTTGCGGCGGCCACCGCGGCCTCCGCCACCTTCGCCGTCGCCGCCGCGACGGCCATCGCTCGCTCATTCGGATTCTCCTCCTCTTCCTCGCGGCAGCGCTCGTCCTCGTCGGCGTCGTAGTCCTCCGCGACCGCATTCCGTCGGGGCATCACGGCGGCGGAAGAGTGACCGTCGCGAGCTCCCTGCAGTACCCTGGCCGAGGCCGCGGCGGAGGCGCTGCCGTGGTTGTCCTTCTCTCGGTAGGACTTGACGAAGCTCCACCGCCGCTTCTCCTTGGGACGAGCGGCGGCGTTTGTGGGATGCTGTTGTTGGGGGAGGGGTTGATCGGAGGGCTTTTTGAGGCCGAGGACGGAGCGGAACCACCGCGAGGCCTTGCCCATTGTTTTTTGACGGTGGAGGAGATAGTTGGTGGTTTTGGCGGGATCGGATTGAGTGCAGCTGAGGAGAGAGAGAGAGAGTGAGGGGAAGTGGAAAGGAAATAGAGAAGAGAAGGTGAGTGAAGAAGATGAAGGAGAAGGGAGAGAGAGAGAGAGAGGGGATGTAAATACGGGAATCATAGGGTTGGGAATTGGGAAAGAAAGGAAGAAAGAAGAGTGTTTTGTGGGTGTGAAAGCGGAAAGCAGAGAGAAGCAGTAAGCTGAATTTGTGCGGCTCCTTAATATTTTTTTCCACATTATTTCTTTTTTTTTTTCACTATTTTTCTTCCTTGGTCCCGATGATTTATATTGTAAATTGAAAGAAAAAAATATTTAGCTTACAACATTAAGTGCAAAATTAATCCGTTGGATTAGGAATAAATTGCATAACTACTATTTAATTTTTTTGTTAAATGGTAAGAAATACTTGTATATCGCGAGGAATCGGTTGTTACTGATCGTTAGTACTTGGTTTGGTATTATTTATGAATTTCGTTGGGTTCAAGGTTATCAACCCGCGGGTTGACCCACGGGTCGACCCAATTTGACCCTGATCCGGTGAGAAAAACGGGCCGCACGCACCCGCCGGGCCGACCGCTATTAGATACCAGGTTGGAGGTCAAATTGTGTCATTTTTTTCTTTAGTTTGCGAAATGCGCCTATTTTCCAATTTTTCTTTTCGCCTAACTCAATCTTTGGAATGCTAAGTTGAACATTTGAATATTTATGTTATATAAGTGTGTTTGAATTTTCACTATATGTTGGATCTAAGTACGATATGTTATTTTGGTGTAATATTATATGTTATAACTCATATGTTAGATAAGATTTGATATAATTTATGAGGATAAGTGCAATATAATGACTCTTTCTATATTTCCGGGTCAAACCGGGCTAAAACGGTTGACCCATTAACCCTTGACCCACTAGCTCGACCGAGTCCGGGTCAACCCGCGGGTTGACAACCTTGGTTGGGTTGCTAATGCTTTCAATTCATCCATGTACATATTGAATCAGAGGAGCGCGATGTAATTTTTATTCCATGCTAATTCAACAACAAAAAATCAACGTCTGTTAATTAACGACATGGGTATAAATATAATACATGCTCGCAATTTGTTATGTATGTGTGTAAAACTTAATTAAGATCATAGTGAACATAGACTTAGTTTAGGTGAGGTACAATTTGAGCTGAAAAACTAAGTATATAATAAACTAATTTTTTTCCTTTAACATATTAATACACGTACTATAACTTCAAACCAAATATTAAAGAGGATTGTAACCTATACCAGCATCATGTAAATCCCACCCTAAAATCCTGTAAGGAAACGAGCTCTACATGTAACTCTTCGGCTAAAATCAATGGCTTTCCCTTCCACTCCCTCCACCACACGTCCACGCCATACTCAGGGGCGGAGGCAGAGGGTTAAAGGGTGGGTCCCGTGACCCACCTTGACTCGTGATGGAAAATAATTCATTAAGTATAATAATTAATTGTAGTGGCGGATCCAGAACAGATTAGAGTATTGGACCGCATTTAAAAAGCGGTGGAGAGGGCTGGGTCGTAACCCTATAAACATTGAAATATATACCCAAAATAAAAAAATTACAAATGTTATATGAGCTTTAGATCCGGGGAGGGCTGGGTCGTGCCCCCCGCCCCCTCGATCTGTCGTTGGTTAATCGGGTTTGGAAAATAACATGTATTTAAATGAAAATGGTTGATTTTTCAAATATTTTATGTATGCCTTATAAGTTGTGCATTGGCATATTCAATATTTTTATAACGAGCTATGTACAAATGATAATGGTGCATATGATCCGCCTAAAATTAAAGATGTAGGTATTCAATATCTACAATAAATTTTCATCGAATCATAGCTAATTTATATTAATAATTTTATTTCAATAAGGGGTAGGGAGAGTGTAACAATTGGTTCCTATAAGGACAAAAATGAGTTAATTAGTATATAGTTAATTGAGAATGAAATTTAGGGCACTTCTAATTGAGAATGGGTGACTGATATATTATTTGTTCGAATCTTTGTAACCTCATTTGTTAAGCACATGATATTCGAATTTACAGAAACTTTATGCCCGTATAAGTTGGTTTTCGTTAGTAGAGAAGTGTTAGTAAATACTAAATAGTATAATATTCATTATTAGATCTTTCCCCCCAATTCGAGTTATTGATACTAGACGATCTCGACCAAGAACAACATTCAAAAACAAATGCCTAACTATATCATAAATAATTTTTGAATACATATACAGTGATATTTTTGATAGTTTTGACAAATATTTAATTTATCAAGTTTTTATAAATACAAAATTATATAATGATGATTTAAAAAACTCATAATTTATTTTATCGTATATATTTTTTCTAAATGGACCCACCCTCGATAAATCCTTGCTACGCCGTACTGGTCTCGAGTAGTTAACCAAGTTTGATGGAGCATAAGGAGGAGAAGACTAGTATACGTTTGGTCGTTTTATGGGTTTTGTCATCTCAAGCAATAGCACTCATTTTGTCCCAATTATAGTTTTTGGTGCTATAATCCGACTCCAAGAGTCCACCATCGGGCTTCGAGGTCGGGCCTTTTTGGATTTGACCAAGCCAATTCATTGAGTAATTGAGGTTTTTTTTTTTATCGTTTGAGTAATTGAGTTTGATTGATCGATATCATGACAAAATTTCATTTTTGTTAATATATATATAGAGCTAATAAAAATCGGAGGGGATGGGATTACGGGCCAACCCAAATTAATAATGGGATCCACAATTGTGGACTAAAGTTTATACGATTGATCACTAAAATCCTAATAACTAAGCAACTATATATATATATATATTCCGACCGACCGACTAAATTCGATTAGCAAGATTGATATGGTACGGCTAATCGAATTTAGTCAGTGGTGATGATCTCCTATAATTGTAATCATCTCGTCTCATGCAGGAAACACCAAGAGAGCTTTTGTTGCAAAAGGTAAAATGGAAATTAGGGACGACTGCACGAGAAGGTCCAAGGAATAATGGACTTTGAAATAGTAATTGCATGGTGGCCTCGTCGACGGACGGCATTAGTTGACCGGCGTCAAAGAAGTTGCCTTACGTGGCTACGTTCGTGTGTAGAAATAAAAGTCGCAAGTCGGCCGCACCGGGGAGCATATTTGGGCCTATTACATATTCGTGTCACTCAAGGCCCACCTTACGATTCTGCGTATATTTTTGTTCGTCAATGAAAATCATTTATATATCCGCCCGTGAGACAGCGACGAGGTAGCTATTTAGTTAGGCAGGCAGTTAACTACTCTTCTCACCTCATTAATTAATACATGCCTGATTCTCTATAACCAGTTTGTATTAACTTAAGGGGTCGTTTGGATGGCAATCTAGAAATGAGTCAATTTGATCAATTGTCTTGTTTTATAAACGAGACAATTAAAATGAGTCAATTCGAATTACCTGCCCCCACTCCAGATAATTGAAATTGACTCAAAACGGATCAATTCAAAATACCTCAGGCAGATTGATTCATCCAAATTTTTTGTTGACAAACGAGGCAATTTGGTACAATTGTCTCAAAACGAGACAATTGTGTCAAATTGATCCGTTACAATTCCTCATCCAAACGACTTAAGAATCTAAGGGGTCGTTTGGAAGTTGTGATTCTTCAAATTGATGTATTAGGTCAATTAGTGTATTATCATTTGATGTATTGATTCAATGCATGTATTAGAAAAATACTTTGTTTGGAAGAGCAATGATGAAACAAAAGGTAGGGTAGACAATCCCTCATTAACAATCTCACCTTTTATTAGAGATTTACAATCATTCATTTTGAGTGATTGTAGGTGGGCCCAACAAAAAGGTAATGCATGCATTCTAACTCAAAGTGAACCAAAAAAACGACTTAATCTTATCATTACATGTATTTGCTAAATACCTCACTTCAAATCTCAACTTCCAAACGACCCCTAAAATGGGTACACCGGTTCTTCCATTTCATAAGTATATTTAAGCGGTCGTTTGGATGGATCAATTTAGAAATGAGTCAATTTGATCAATTGTCTCGTTTTATAAACGAGGAAATTAAAACGAGTCAATTCGAATTACCTGCTCCACTCTAGGTAATTGAAATTGACTCAAAACGGATCAATTCAAAATACCTCAGGCAGATTGATCCATCAAAATTTTTTGCTGGCAAACGAGGCAATTTGGTACAATTGTGTCAAAACGAGACAATTGTGTCAAATTGATGTGTTACAAACTTACAATTCCTCATCCAAACGACGCTTAGTATTGCAATTAAAACAAAGTAAACTACCCCTAAATTTTATAGCAATGACCTTGTTTCCTCGGAAAAACCAAATGCCACCGCCGGTGCCGAATTCGTTCCCGGCGATGTTGATTTAATATTTCGCGGTGGAAACTCTTGCGGTGCCGTTTGATCGGATGCACCGCTGTTTGCTGAAATCGATGACGATCGTCAAATATCCACCGGGCGGTGTTGATTTGATCGATGCACCTCTGAATGGTGAAATCGACGTGACCGTCAAATATCCGCCACCGAATGTCGGCGTCGTTGATTTAATCGATTCACCTCCGACTTCTAACCAAGACAACCGTTACTACGGTTCACACCTCTCCAAACTACGTTCGAACGAGGGTGTTTGAGTTTTTGAGGAATCTACGCTACCGCTACTCCTATGGAGATTCCTGTGGAGAGCTCCGCGACTACGACTACTTCTACAACTATGGAGATCCTTCCTGGAAGGAGAGCTCCGCGAAGGAGTTACAGAGAAAAAAGGTAAAGTTTGACAGAGTTGTTCTGTGTTGATTTGGTTGTCCTTCTCTCTCCTTGCTCCACTGCTTTTATTCGAAAAACTGCTTCGTAGTCTTCACGCTCGGTGGAACCGCTTCCTCAACTGCTCCGTTGTGAAATCCCACGTGTCTCAACCGCTTCGCTCCTCAAACTGCTTCGCGTGAACTTTACGTGAGTTGTTTTCATGATCCCGCGATGTCGTTTCCTTTCCCAAACAGCTCCGCTTGATTCTACCCACGACATCGTTTTAATCTCCGCTTCCAGCCTTGCGGTGTCGTTTTCTTTCCCAACCAGCTCCGTTTGTTTTTTTTTTCTTCCGCGACACTGTTTATTATTAAACACTGTCGTTTGCTAGTATAGCGGTACCGTTGGGCTTCCTCGCGGTACTGTTTTAAATTCCGCGGTGTCGTTTCTTTCCTCTTGCGGCATCGTTTTCAACTAAACGATACCGTCCTAAACAGCCATTAAAATATTAATTAATTAATCTGTCCATCCCCAGCTATGGCCAACGACATCACTAGCGCCAAAACGGCTCTGTTTGCCTCTCCCTTCGCGACATTGTTTTTTATTTAAACACTGTTGCTTGCTAATCCGCGGTACCGTTGGGCTTACTCGCGGTACCGTTTTACTCATCCGCGATGCCGCTTGTCTCCATGCGGTACCGCTTCTCCCTTTCCGACAAGGAAAAACAATAATTATAAAATAAAACTCCTTCTCCAACACCACGCGCGCGACCCTCTTTTATTTTCATTAAGCGGTGTCGTTTCCCATGCCGCGGTACCGCAGAGCTTCCTTGCGGTACCGTTTTGCTGTTTCGCGGTATCGCTTTGACTCTCCGCAACACCGACACCGTTTTTTACCCGCGGTGTCGGATTAAATGCCGAGACTAATTAATGCGGCATTTAATTCCGGCCAAATTAATTTTAGGTGTCAACAGACCTAATTAAAGATCAATCTGATCAGAGAAAGTCAAACTCGTTCGGGAACTTCTGTCATCCCATATGCGCAGGAAAAAAAAAAAAAGAGAAGATCTATTGGCACTGGGAAGGACCAGTGATAGATGCTTCAGAATTGAAACCGTACTCTGCAGAATCAGATCCGTTTGCCAATTCGTAAAAAAATGGATTACCCATTGCCCAAGGTTAAAAGATAGAGAGAGAGAAAATTGACTGCAACGTTACGTCCACTCGGTAGATCGCTATCCCGGCCGCGGCAGAAGTTCCTAAAAGCCCTCATTCCCCAGCCCGTAACTTTCACAGCTCACGTGAGTGACTATGGTAAAAAAAACAACTATTTTATTTTACCCTCTATTTCCGAAGGAAGGGAGGAAAATGGAGGGGAGGGGAAGGGAATTAGGAGGGGAGGGATGATTAGGAGGTTAAGGAAATTGGAAAGAAAATGATATTTTATGGAGGAAAGTGGGAAGGAAAATGTGTATTGGAAATTGTAATGGATATATTATTTTATTGGATATGTAAGAATTAAATAATTTGATTATATTTTTATATTATTTTGATGGGTTGTGAATTGTGAAGATGGTGAGGTGGAGGAGAGAGATAACAAAAAAGAAAAATAAAAAGGGCAAACTTTTTCTTCTTCTCTCTTCTTTCCCTCCAATTTGGAGGGATTGATGGTACAGTAAATTTTCTTTTCTTTTCCCTTCCCCTCTTCTTTCAGAAACAAGGGAAAGTGCATTGGGAATTTAATTTCCCTTCAAACACTTTCCTTCACCCCCTTTTCCTCCGTAAAAAAACAGGGGGTTAGGGTTAATAGCATTTTATGCCCCTGTACTATTGCATTTTAACAAACGTGCCCCTGTACTATGATTTTGCACAAACGTGCCCCTATACTATTATAACGTAACAAAAATGCCATTCTGTTGAAAAAATTCATTTTCTCTCCGTTAACTGAGACAGGAAATTACCAAAATAACCCTGTGACTAATATTAAAATTTCACTTTAATTTTGAAAGGATTATCGCCGAATTAAGAAAAGGCAAAAAAGGAGCCCCGTAATACGCGACTCCCCGCTTTGTCCTCTCACCGTTCTACATGCGATCATCGGCCTTCGACCACAGCAACCAGGCCGGTGCCGTTTTCACCACCGGCATGATCCAACTCTGTCGGCATCCACCAACTCGTTCATTATCTCATCCGCCATCTTCTCGTCTAGCTCCGTCGCCGGCAGGCAGCATCTTCTCCGACAACCAGCATCTTCTCCTGCGTCCACAGTCTTTTCCTCGAGCGGCATTGTCGGCAACATAAGCATGGGCGAAAACGACACCTCAGCCCGTCGATATTAACTTCGCCAACAGCCTCTGAGGCACGGCTGCTACCATTCTATTTTTAAACCCTAATTTATACTAATAGGACAAAAAGAGGAATGAAATATTGGTTGTTTCCAGGCGAAACCCAATATTAGAACAAAAACCCCAACAATCAAAACAAACATAATTTAGGGTTCTACAAATTTCGGAATGTACAGAAGAGAGCGAAAATGGGTGAGAAAGAAGCACATCTTTGGTTTTCTCGAATATTGTTGGGTATGGAATTGAGGACAGATCGTCGGAGGAGCGTTTGGGATGAGGAAGCAGTTGGGTCTTTGTTCAGGTGGAGGGAGCGGTAGGTCCTGCGGAGAAAGAAGTTGGATCGGTGGAGGGAGGAGCTGGTCCAGCGGATGGAGAATATTGCCCAAGAAAAAGGTCCGACGGAGGGAGAAGGAGTCCTCGACGGTCGCCGGAAGGGAGCTCCGACCGTCAGCTGGATGGCGGATTCTCTTGAGAAGAAGACTCGAAGATATTTTTGGACCGTGATTGGAAGAGAACTCGTATTAGGGATGGCAGTAGAGAGGCACGATGAATTGAGGGTGTTTGGGTAATTTCCGGTACCCGTTAACGAAGAGTTAACAGATTTTTTGACAGAAGGGCATTTTTGTTACGTTGTAATAGTATAGGGACATGTTTGTGCAAAATCATAGTACAGGGGCACGTTTGTTAAAACGCAATAGTACAGGGGCATAAAATGCTATTAACCCTTTATTTTACTGTACTTTTTAAGAGGGAGGGTGAGACTGAGACGTACAGGATACGCTACGGCCAGGAGCAAGTGCGGTGGTCGGTGGGTTTGTGTACCTCACGATCTGACGGCTAAGAGTGCAGATGATAAATTGAAGGCTTTCACATCTCTACCACCTTTCCTCATTCGTTCACCCTCCGATCGTACACGTCTTGGCGCAGCTAACCATCTTGATCGTGCCACGTGTGTTTTCGTGGGGGACCGTGGCAAGTGCTGGGTAGGAGAATTAGGTGACTGGATATGAATATGATGTCTGACTGGGAGGGAAGTCAAAAACGGAGACCCGGTCAAAGCCCACAAACAACGAAACGCAAAGAAGTGGTTGGTCACATGGACGGTCAACCACAACCTTTCTGCAGGAGTGAAATAGTCAACATTCTCTGCTCAATACTCGTCGTGTTAGGCCAAGGGACCGGAAGATATGATGTGTCGCAGCATGCAACAACATATTGTGATGAATCAGAATGCACGTTGCTAAAAACTAATATATGATATATATATATGTGCAGGACATATGGTACAGTGTTGATATTTACTCTTCTAACATGGTGATTATTTTGTCAACACTGTATTCACCTCATTAAATCATAATAACACTACGACGAAGTCCAATAAAGGATTGATGAACGTGCCTTTTTGACTTGACGTAACTTCGTATTAAGAAATTCATTCAATGCTTGGCGAGAAGTGTTTTAGAAGCGTTTGCATGTTTACTTGACCTACACATATGTTGTAACCTTTGTGCACTTGCAAAACAAAAAACAATCATCACACAACTAGCAAAGTCTAAGAGAGTAATCGCATAGCCTAAAACGTTGTCTCATTAGAAAACCCGATCCATCATGAACATAGCACATTCCTCCAACATGAAGACCACCAAAGCTAGCTAGGGAATGACAGTATGGCACCCTGTGGTACTTGCGAGCCAATGAATAAAACGCAAAATAATTATTAAGTAGTGATCACGAACGAGTAGTAAAAATTGAAGTAAGAACCTTGTCCATTAGTAACTACAAGTAACTAAATCCATCAGTGCACTTCTCTATCAAAGTAACCAAAAATGACGCTCAAATTAACGTTCACTTCTCAAACTTCCTCGCGCTCTACTCTTTAGATTTAAACCAAAATTTGTTTCTTTTGCAAGATCTTCTTCACTATCTATATTTTCTCTTTTTCTTTATTTTATCAGGCTCAACAACGATATTTTGATGAAATGAGAAGAAAAATGTCATGCACTGTTACGTTTCATGTTTCCGGCCCAAGCACCCTTATCCAAATGCCAAAGCCCATTTTGCCACTGAACTTCTGCTTACGATTCAACGTTCTCAGTACACAATTACAGAACACATATCGCGATCCGCCATTTCTTATTAGCCGTCTTTTCTCTTGTTACAAGTTACAACTTGCAGAAGGGAAAACAAACAAAAAGAAAGACCTCTTCTCCCTCACCGCCATGGAGGAGCTTGGAGCGGCGACATTCATTCTCTCCTAAACCGCCGGCGCCGATTCATCCAACGTACTCTTCGACAAGTAAGATAAACATTCATGTCCTTCTCATAGCCCGCCATGTGAGATGTGACCCCTTCGCCTGCACATACACCCGGTTCCTCGTACATGAAGTCCCCAGGCGTGCAACTAAATTGACCTTACGTCTCAGTAGCTGCTCTCTGAACTTGAGCTGCCACAGCCCGATGACTTATGCTCGTCATTTGGCGAATGAGGTCTTGGAACGACGGCCGTTGCTGCGGATCACTGGCGGTGGTGGAGTTTTCAGCCCCACAAACGAGGAACGACAAAATCAGTTAGTAGCTTCATCCCACAAACAACTAATAACTTAGCATCATCTGTTTAGCTTGTAAATGAAGTTACCTCTTCCAACAGTTTTGGATAATGGAAGCTATCCTGGGATCCAGACCTTCAGGCAGTTCCAGTCTTCTGTCCATGAAGCCTACCACTCCAACCACCTGCGCCAACAGTGACAGCACAGAAACCAAACCACTAAAGCCAAGCCTCTAAATGAAAATTGGGTCTAGTCGGATAAGAGAGCGAGTGAGTAGAGACCTGCAAGGAGTTGAGTTTATCCCATGGGATGGAGACTGTCATTAGCTCCCACAAGATGACCCCGAAACTGTAGACGTCGGACCTGGATACGTATTCCAAAGGCAAACCTTATGATCCGGCGCCTGCATATAGAATGGACTAAAAAATCATGGTTGAGGGTTCTTTGGGAAGTTACTTACTTCTCGTTCGAAGGATCGTTGCGGAGGACTTCAGGTGCCATCCACTGAGGCTGCATTGACAAAGTTCAATTCGCCATTATGCAAGAGAAGTTCCTACTCAAATAGTGCTATGACTAAGCAACTAATCAATAGCAAAGAGTTCAATGCAGCAGAGAGAGACGCATTACCGTTCCTATTCCTGACTTTGCAGACAAGAAGGTTGCATGCTTCCACCTCGACAGGCCAAAGTCCCCAACCTGATGCAGAAAACAGTTGTTTAATCCCCTTGGCCACTAGGAAACTTGCATTACCAGAATGATTCGTTCGCCCAGCTTACCTTTACATTCCAATTTTTGTCAACAAGCAAGTTGGAAGATTTTAGATCTCTATGCACAATTGGTGGGTTTCTATGATGCAAGTAATTCATCCCTTTAGCCTGCAAGATATTGAGACGTGCAAACATTGAATGACCATTTATCTTTAGGAAACCTAAGTAGCACCAATAGTTGAAGACTTGAAGTATAGCTTACAACGTCAAGAGCCATCTTGAGCCGCCTTTTGATATCCAGAGTCTGGTTGTTTCTGTGAAGTGTCTTGAAAAGGCTTCCCCTGCCATGAGGAAGAGATTTGCAAAATCATTTAACAGCTGCACAAAAGACGGTGACGTACGACACCAGCTGGGAGAGCTCAAGTCCATTACTTACCTTGGCAAGAACTCTGTGACTAAGGCCAGTCGTTGTGGTGAATACACAGCACCCATGAAAAGCAACACGTTTGGGTGTCGAAGCCTCTTCATTATCTCAATCTGATACAATATAAGAAGCTTATATTAGGAGAGGCTTCAATTGGCAAACCTAGAAACTTATATTACAAGTCAAGCGGTTAAAGCACCTCTTTCGTGTACTCATGCAATGTTTCTTCTCTGTAATCGCTAGCAAAATAAACCTTGACAGCGACATCCTGGTGCATGGAAATGAAAATGTGGGTTAACGGTAAACTGCTGAAGTTCAGAATAACAGCAAATGCACCTGCTGCACAGTCATAGCAAGCCTATCGTACCGATTCATTCCAGATTGCTCGATAGACAGCGGCAAAAGCACCTAAAGGGCAAATAGGAAGAAAAGAAAACTCAGAGCTCCAGAAAACACCCTCATCCCAATGAAGCAAACCTTAATAATAACTTTAGACGCTTACCTTGCCCAACCTCCTCTGCTAATTGAAGGTTCTCCCATTTAATCTCGCAATCTACCTTTGAACTCGAATCATTATCGCCCTTACTCGAGGACCTTCCACGAATGCCATTGCTCCCCACAACACAAGAGACCTGCTTCCCGTTTGATCCTCGGCCTCTTTCATCTTCTTCAGTTTCCAAGGGTTCCCGGTCTACCTCTGTCTGCTCCTTTGCATCATTCAGCTTCTGGAATTGATTTCCTTCCTCCGCAGCGGTTGACACACACATCTCTTCAGAAGGATATCGGTTGCTCCGTCCATAATTATTATAAAAATTCCTAATAGGGACCAAAGAGTTTCCTTCGTGTTTAGGAGGACTCTTTGCTTCAGCCTTGCCATTGACAGAGCAGTGATCATATACCGATGCTTTTGATCCTCGATGATGATTAGTGTTTTTGAAAGCCCCATTGTTAACGGAACTACCACCACCATTATAACGTTGACCGTTCTCTTCGTCATTTTTACTACTATCATTGAACCCTCCAATGCGCAAACTTGCCAACTTTTTAGCTGCCTGCAGCAACTGCAACCAAATAGAGGAGCAAACTACTTTGGTAAACCAAACAATAAAGAACCCTCTGTTTTCAGGACTTATAAATAGAGAATGGAAAGAAGTCGTACAATTTTTGGATGACGACTCCGGTTGGTGCCATTCTTCTCGTTCTGACGACAGGTATTACTACTTGCTCTTGGGTCCTGCATCCAAAGTCTTTTTTACTCAAATCTCGCTTCCTCCCAAAAAGTTCCACCCGAGAGTGAACTAAGAACTTACTAGTGAACCAAAGTGATGGTCTTCGACAATGGCTGCAGGTTGTGTATCAGCCCAGGAACCCCAATGGCCATCATAATTACCATCATCATCGCTCTTTCTAGGCAAAAACTTTGAAGCCTTAACCAACGAATCATTGAAAATGCAAAAGCAAAAGCAGAAGCTACGGATTTAGAACCATGCGGTGAGTCGGGTGAGATAATAAAACAGGAAGAAACAGAAAACCCACAGTAACAAATTAAGCACCAGATTAGAAACTGACGATGCAATGGCTGGGCGTTGGTGCCACTGAATCCTCCTGAAGTTGGTGTCTTTAATTGTAACATTGCTGAGGTTCTCTAAATTGTGCTTGTTGAAGACCGCCGCATCACTTGAAACCGTGATGATCCCGGCGAGCTGATTGTCATTGTACATTGGGCTTTTGGTGACCAATGCCATAAAAATCTCTCCCGACCTCTTCCTAAGAGGGAATTGCCCAGACCACGACCGCCCAAAACTCAAAAGCTCCAAGATCTTGCCAAGGGACGCATGGTTCCCTTCAGCCACAAGTAGCTCGGCCATGCTCCGGCCGATGACCTCGTGTTCTTGCCACCCGTACAGCATTTCAGCAGCACGATTCCTGAAAAAGCCCAAGATTAAAGTGAAGCCTTAATTGATAATTCGACTCCAGTGAGGAATTTAGACAAACACTTAGCGTGCGAGGGGTCATTAGAAGGAAAAAGAGGTTACCAGTAGACGATCTGTCCAGATGAAGCGCTGCATACATGAAGAGCGTGCCCCATGGACTCGAGCACCCCGCGGTAAGGAGTCCCCTCCACGAAGTACCCGGGAAAGAAAGACCGGCCGGAAAATGTCGTAACCATTCCGGTCAATGACGTCAACTCCGCCGAACGATTGTCATTCGTCGCCAAGGTACCGCCTGATCTGGAGTCGTCGTCCCTCCGTCTCGACTTGTCCTCCTCCAGAAGATGGAACAGCTCCTGTTTCAGCCTCGAGTGGCTCGCTTCCAGGCTCAGGCACCGGTCCACGAGCGCCCTGTGGAGAGCGCTTCCCGATGACTCGCCGACCGCCATTGTGATCGCCGGCGATGTGCATGATGATTGGGAGTCTTCGGCTGGAGGAAATTTATAGTTAATTGGTGGGAAGTGGGAGAGCTGGGAAGAAGACGGTGGCGGAGTTCTTCTTTAAAAAATCCGGTTCCTCCCTTTTCTCATTGGCAAGAAGAAAAATTACAAGATTATTGAAATGAGTGCTGGTGTTGCTCGAGTCATTGAGTGCGACAGGATGGAGCCACGTGTCAGCTGCCGCCAAGGAGGTGCTATCGGATGAGGACGGGTGTAGAGTTGGTGATGCTTGTGACGAATTAGGGAGTCGCGGGAAAGGAGATCTAACGGGATGGGGTTTGGTTCTACGTCAGCGGGATGACGCCACCAATCTCCCTTTCCCTGACTGGAAGGACGGATTGGTTTCTCACTGGACAAATAAAAAAAAAGGGCGGGAATGGGCAAATTACTAACTGACGTCACTAGTCAGTAGTCACCAAAATTTAGGGGGCGATTTCCCGTAATGGAATTGCTTCATCCCGAAGTACTCCACTGGTGAGAAGGAAAAGAAAGCCAAGCGGACTTCTTCCAGAAGACAGCTCCACCGCAAGCATGCGAAGTATCCACACTCGAACCCAACTCTATCTATGCCAAAAACAAAATACTCCACTCGTGATTTGGCTTCTTGTTTACCAACAAAATGTTCATTTTCAGTGTACATATTCAATTTTGGTTGGACTTTTCGGATCGATTGGTCAGCAGGGGCGTAGGCAGGAATTTTTGTAAGGTGGGTCGAATAGTAATATAGGTCTCAAAAAGCGAAAATAAGTAACCCGAATCAGATGACGAGAAACAGTCATATTCTTATTTTCACTATCAGGCCGCCAGCAACATCGTCTTCTAGCCAACCACCTATCCATTAACCACCAAGGAAACTCCGTCGATCCGGGAGAATGAAGAGGTGTAAGTCCCAATCATGCGTGCCTCTGCTTCTCCGATTTGATCTTACAGATATCTAGTTATGTTATTTCTAGGTTTTACAAAGAAAAGCTTTGAAGATCATAAGAAAAATGAGACTTTGATCAGAAAAGTCTGTCGTAATTGACTTCAATTGAGTTTTTATATGCAGTAAAGAGAAGCCAATGGACCACAAATTTAAACTCAAGCCCAAAAATCCAGGAGTACTCGTTTTTCTAGCAAGCCCATCAAAAAACAATGTGTTAAAGTGATATTTAAGCCCACTTTCACGTCAATTTACAACTACAACTAATTTAAAAACGCAGACGTTTTCATTAAACACATAAACAAGGTTCCCTTTATATATGTTTCGATCAAAGCAGCAGCTTATGCAAGGTTGGACCAAGAACATAGTAAGAACACAGAATAAAATATGAAGAATTGAAAAACCAATTACTTGTTTGTGTGTTGCAAAGCCAAGGTGGTGCAGCCGACCCACCTTGGCCTGCTCTGGCTCCGCCCCTGTTGGTCAGGTTGCGGGTGAAGAAAAAGAATCCAATCTCTCTGTTCATCACTCAAAAAGGATTGAACGAGGGTTTTGTTTTGTTCAACCTTCTGGTTGTCAGTTTTGGTACGGGTGGACTGCCATCATGTTGATCGTATAGGTAAATTAATAGGACCGAACCACATGTATGATAGCAAGCTAATTGTGTGGTCTAACCAAACTGCATAAATTAGCTACTTGGTGTGGTTTGGACAGCAACAGCATGTTAGACTGTAAGTTAAGTGTTCGATTAATTCGCAAAAGAATTCTATGCCCTCCCCATCTCCATCTCCATTTTAACCCATCAATTTTTCACAAATCTGCTTTCACTTACCAGACTTTCAATGCCAATCTCTTCCTCTTCGTCGATGTCGGTGTTGCCTCCTCCGCAGACCGCCACGTCATCACTTCCTTCAATGACCTCAACGTGACGTTCGACTTCCCGTCTTCCAGCCTCAGGTTCTTCCTCGTTAGGGGGACCCCTTCCTCACTTGCTCTGTCTCCGGGGCCACGCCCATCTCGATCTCCACCATCCACGCCATTCTCTCTTGTTTCTTCTCCCAATAACCATTTCATGTCTAACGAGTTTGACCAGTAATCCAAATTCGTCCTTGATCTGTTAGCTCCTGCTACCATGATTCATTGTTGGCTATTTTTGTTAAATTTGTCCTACTTGGCGGTCAACTATCATCTTTGACCGTTAAATAAGTGATGTCTCTACTGTTTAGTTTGGATATAGTAGTATTTTTCCATCTGTAATAATTCTCCAATTATTTATCATTTCTAACGGACAATGATGATTCTTATCAAAACTCGCTAATCATGGCTAATTAAAAATTTGTTTTATCACTACCAATTACCATAAAATCACTACTTATATCATTACTACAAATCATCAAATCAAATATGCCCATAATAACGGAGGACCGTGTGGGTACTTTGCTATAGGGAAGGGTGTTAGACAAGGAGGTCCATTACTTCCCAACGTGCAATTAAAGTTTTTGGTTGTTTGTTAAAGAATGTAGATTGGGAGAACCATATCCCTTACCACTCCCGTGCAAATCACTGTCAATCACTTATCTATGCTTTGCAGACGATTTACCCCTTAATATACGTTGTTTCCATGAGGTTTTATATGCAAAATTGCAATTTTGGTACCCGAACTTAATAGCTCTTAATTTTTAGTACTTAACTTTTTACACATAAGTACTAAAAATATCATTGAAAAGGTACATATCAGTACCTAAAATTTGTTTTCTTGCATCATGATACCTAAACTTTTTAAAATCTACAAATAAGTCCACTATTAAGAAACTTGTGATATGTTTTATGAGACTTGTAGTATGCTTCATGTGTGACACCCTCTTACTTTTGGAGCTACTTAAATTAAGTATATGTTGTTAGTAAACATTTAAATATGAGCTACCATCCGTTGAGGCTAGTGTCGCGTTATTTACTGACGTATCAAGAAATCCTCAAGATAATTTCCGTACTAAGTGATACAAAATGGTAGGAGATCTCATCATAATCCACTAAAAAGTTTGAACTAGTAATTAATACATTAGTTCCTCTAAGCTCATGCTTAAACCGTTATATTTGATGATTTAAACAAAAGGAACCAAAATCCATGCCATTAGTGATAGTGGTAGTGGGATTGAATGAGACATGTGAGTGGAGATTTATTTCCCTTGTCCCTTCTTACACCATTTCCCCTCTAGACACACGCAGGAGCTCTAGTTCCAAGGACAAATTCTAGACACACACATACCCAGACAACCAGCCATTACAAGCCATTTAATGAATTGAGAAATGGACGGTTTAACTTGGAGGAAATGGGAGTCAAATGCCCCTTATCCCCTTCCATGCTTTGAAAGCCAAGAGACGAACTAAAAAGTCCATTCTCACCTTCCTTTCCCTTCACCATTTCTATCGCTCTTGGGAAGAAAATGAATTCATACGAAGATTGAATATGTATGAAGGAGGAGGTCGTTAGTTATACCAGGTATTGCCCTACTGCCTCTTGATCTTGCGATCTATATCTTTACAGAGGGCATGGAAGTACTGATTCATTGCTACATGCATGTTTTAGAGTGATATCAATTTGACAAATTACATGATCCATCCACCTGTTATCAATTTGACTAATTACATGCATGTTTCTCACCATAGGTTAGATGGGCGATGACTTTTCAAAAGAGTTTATATATATTTCTGTGAATGAGAGATAATGCATCTGGAGACATGGGGAAAACATATATATCTCAAGGCTATATATATGTGGATGGATATAAGAATGGGATATATATATATATATATATATATATAGAATATCATAATAGTAAATTGTATATGGGGTAAGGTAAATGATGGAAGTGAGAGGAATTAAAAGGAATTTGCATTTGGGAACTTTTGACAATTTCACGAGATTAAGTGGCAGCAAGATGAGCTAGATTAAGTAGAGTAATTATCTCATGAGAAATCTTGTAAACTGGGTGCGTATGTGTGCATGCATGAGTCATCAAAGGAGTTTGTCGTGAGTTGTGAATCCCATTTTATTAACCGGAATTAACATTGATAAGCATGCTTCGTATCTAAACTAAGTACTTATATGCCTACTTACATGGATGATTGATCGAGTATGAGATGTTAACTTGCATTATTCGTATATTAAATCTGTGTGTATGGCTTTCAAAGGAGAAAGTCGGGATGGAGCATCAACACCTGTCTAGCAAGATAATTAAGTTGTGAGTAAATTCTAACCTAATGTTTATCTTAATATGATTATGATATTCGGGTCATGAAGCGGCCCGAGTACAACGCGTATGATGGCTTGGTAAGACTTATACCAATTGTGATTGAATGTCGATATGTGACATGGTTACATAATTGAATGATATGAAATGATTGAATGATACTATGATTGGATGAGGTTACCGTATCGTGGTAATTATATGATAATGTGATGATATGATGACATGTGTATGATGATATGACCAGAAGGTCATAATACAGGTTATATCGTGGTAATTATATGATAATGTGATGATATGATGACATGATTGTATGATGATATGACCAGAAGGTCATAATACATGTTATGTGGGTGCTAAACGGTATTATGTGATGACTATATGAAATGTGAAATGATATTCAAGAAAGTCAAGTGAAAAGAATGGCGAGAAAGGTTGCCTATTGTGAATGGTACGAAATGAGATAGAATGACATGTGAGCCATACAAGTGAATGTGATATGAAATGGCCATTGGGTCATACAAGTGATATGTTGAGTTGTGACTAACCATAAGAATTGCATGGTCACCTAAAGCAAACGTAATGGCGCCCTGTCATGCACTCATTATAAGTGAAAAGAGGCTTCAAGCCTAAGAGATAAAAGAGCACGAGAACTCCTTTTAAGGAGTAATGCCAGGCCTGGCTACGAGTTTATGAGATATGGCACTTTGTGCCCCACGAGTTTACGAGTTCATGAGATATGGCACTCTGTGCCCACGAGTTCACGAGTATATGAGATCTGGCACTTGTGCCTACGAGTTACGAGTTTACGAGATCCCGGGGAGTGCATGACTTGGCAAATTAAAGAATAAAAGCTACTGAATCCAGCTAACTATATGTATGTGTGTGATTGGATGCTGATTCATTGTTGATTTTGGATGCAACATGAGTATGTGAATGCCAAGCTTGATATTTTTCATCTTTATGTGATATATGATTGAGATGGCAATCTTAGTATTTTCCATATTTGAGGTATAGAATGTGAACTCTTACATGTGATATGTGAAGGTTGATGTGCTTTATATGTCATATCAAGTGATATGAGGTACATGTTTGATGATCTCCTATGATGAGTAGTACAACGATTGATCAGGAAACTGTGACATAAATAGTAATGATATATTAATTTCATTATGGTAGTGCCATGAGATATCGACGTGTATAATGTTATGTGTCTACAATACATCCCTTGATGTTATACGTGTTAATAGAAGAGTAAAATATGAAGGAAAATTTGTCGTATGGGATATAAGAATAAATACAAACCGTATGCAACACCAGGTAGGGTAAAGTAAAGGAGAAACCTTAAACGAAGGATATATAACATATATGAATGACCCATAACGTATATGTGATAGATCGAATGAACGAGGGACGAAATTTCGTATAAATCTACATAGGTAAGACCTAAGTAAAGTTATTAAGTGATTTGTGTACATCGAGTATAATGGACGGAAGACACTACGAATCACAACATAGCCTGATATCATTTTCGTATTAATATTTATATTAGGTTATTATTTACTCATTGAGTGACGTCTCACCCCCGTCAATATTTTTCCAAGATGAATAGCTAAAGTGGGTGAAGGCCATGGGATAAAGCAAGTTAAAGTTTGACATCGATGAGGTGGGCGGAAGGCTGAACTCTCCACAATATTTTCAACGGGAAATTTGAAGATGGGTTTTTCCCAGAAAAAAAATATGAACCACGAGTTTGAGGATTTTGGGTAAATAGTTGACGATGTGCATACATTATTATGGGGTTTTTTTTTAAATGGAGAAAAGCAGCTGGGTGTTACATCATGGGACATTGTTGTGTGATTCAAAAAACTTGTGGTATACTTTTATAAACTCGTGGTGTGGGAAGGTTATGGTCTCTTTCTCCAGTCTGTAGATGTTTTCATGGAGTTTCACATAAAAAATTATATTTTGGTACTTGAACTTAATAGATCTTAATATTTAGTATACACAATTAATATTTTGTCACATGTAAGTCATGAAAAAGCGATGGATATTTACATTAGTACCTAAAATTTTGTCTTCCTACATTTTGATACGTTAGCTTTTTAACATTTACAAATAGATCAACTATTACGAAACTTTGTGGTTTGCTTAATAAACTTGTGGTATCCAGGATTTGTGGTTTGCTTCGTGAGACTTGTGGTATACTTTAAAAAGCTTATGATGTAATGAGGTTGTGATCTCACTTATAAGGTTTGTGCTTGCTTTAATAAACCTGTGACATGTTTTATGAGACTTGTGTTGTGGTATGCTTCATGAGACTTGTGGTTTATTTTAAAAAACTTGAGAAATGCTTTTATAATTTGTGGTGTCTGGTGTGGTTGTGATCTCCGTTCTAAGGGGGTTTTTTTTTTTGCGGCGTGGTTGGTTGCTTGTGTGTTGTGATCTATGTTGGTGGTTCACCCCCCCTCCTCATTTGATGCCTTAATACGTTGGTCTTCACTTCTCCCAAATGTCATAATACAAAGCGTGCTCCCCATCCATTTCTTCTCATTAATTGTGATAAACTTATTTAAATTAAAAAATCACCCAAACATGACATTTTTATTGACCGAAGTAAGTATTAGCACCACACCAATAAAAAAAAGTGTACAAAGATGATATTTTTATTGACTTAAGCAAGTATTAGCACCGCACCATAAAAAAAGAATGCGAGCATGTTACCTCTTTTTTAAGTAGTCGCAGTCATGGGATATCTGATTACTAGGGATGACAATGGAGCAGGTTTGCCTAAACCATCGCCATACCCGCTTTCAAATATCCAAACCCGTATCTGCCTCATACCATGCGGTGGAAGGTTTTGCAAACCCATCCCCGTACCCCGTGGGTAATCCCCACTCCGTACATCCAACAGCATTATACCTAATACTTTACGTGTAAATTTTCGATTATAACACTAAACAGACCTACTAATGTGAAGTTGACAAAGATACGATCATATTTAATACAGTTCAATTCATTTGATCCCAAAACATCCACGAATCAATAATATAGAGTGTAACATTTTCCAAATCATTAGTTTCTAACTCCGATACATCTACTAATTAACAATTAACTAACATAATTATCTTATTAACAAGAAGGAAAAATGAAAGAATGAAGGGAGAATTGAAGGAAATGAATTAGGTTTAGATTTGGGTGACCACTCAATTGCATTTATCCTATTAATTTGCTTGAGTTATCTTCACGATCATTGATAAATTACAATTCGATCCATGTATTTTTCATATGTGAAGAAATTTTATTAGTGTGATAAGGGAGGCGAAAACCATAGCCGCTCTATACCCATCAAACTTTTTGCGGATTTTATCCATACCCGCCTCATAACCAGTCAATGTATAAATTTTTCATGTTGATTGGATGGGGGCGATCGGATACCCGCGATCATGACTTTGATTGCCATCCCTATAATGGTTAATGACAATTTAAATATTCCAAATATTTCTAATCTATCTCCTATCCTCGCATCTGCTGCTCAAACTCGAAATAAATCCCGCCAAACCCCCCTGGCGGTTTTTCCAACCCCACTTCGTACGGCAACCAAAAGCACCCACAATTCCAATTCCTCCCGGCAAAACCGTCAATCGCACTCCCCGCGAAAATGGAACACTCTGCTCTCTGCATCCCCTCCATCTGTTGCTTGCTCGTCGTTCTGACGAGCTTCTTCGCCGCAGGAGTGGAAATCCTCTCCAAATCCAAGGTTCAGCGGTGCGAGAAGGGCTCCGATTCCGATGAACTCAACTGCACTCGTAAAATCGTCCTCAACATGGCGGTCCCCAGTGGCGCCGTAAGTAAAATTTGTTTCTCCATTCAATCGCGTTCGTTTTCACTTGTTCCACTCTTTTCAATCGATCGATGTTCTGAACTACGGAAATTTTGATTGGTTGCCGATTTTTAAAGAGTGGACGAGAGTCGTCGATCGTCGCTGAAATTGTAGAAGTGGAGGAGAATTCCACCGATTACATGCAAACACTGCGAAGGCCGCCAGTGATAACGATCCACAAATCTCCTGCTTATGCACTTTACCAGCTTACATATATTCGGGTAATCTAGGGTTTCCAACCCACTAGAGAACAAGCAAGGTTGATTGGCTCTATTGGGGTCCTTTATTTTGCTTCCTTCTATTCAAGTGATGCGTTAATTGACCTTTGGAATTGTGTGTGTGGCATGACAAACGGCCAGGATGTTGCTTACAAACCTGTTGAGTATTCTGTCAAGACGCGGAAATGTGAACCAGATGCTAATGCGGATGTAGTGAAGGAATGTGTAAGGCATGTGATCCTATCTCAGTACTGATTCAAAGTGTGACTGCTTCAATTTGTTTGGCTGCTTGTCTTGTAGTTGTTGTGTGTAATTAGATCAATCTGGTGCCCTATGCGAGAACTCACGGATGTTGGGCATATTTTATAAGAAGTTGTGTTTATAGTCTGCCAAATGACATGGGAAATGAACATATTCCTTGCAAGTTCATGATATCGTGCCACCAATTAACGTGTTTCCTTAGTTGCTGTCTACACTCTATAACACTGGTGATTGAGATTGGATCTTGACTAGTAAGCCGCTTTATACATCTCTGCAGATTGCAGGATGAGACTGGTCATGTTATTGAGCATTCAGAGGTAAACACTCTCTGTACAAAGCTATACTAGTCTTTGCATATAGCAGTCTGTTCAAGATAAAGAAAAGAATGGGAGAAAACTCATGACAGAAGTTTATTGGGAATTAACGTGTATTCTTTGGAAACTACATATTTTCTCTTCCTAGTTCTAATCCTAAGACTTTTATCTGTCTTTGTTCTGTTCCCTCGATATCGTTCCTTTTGGTCAGCCAGTATGCTGTCCTTGTGGTCCGTGGAGGCGAGTACCTTCATCATGCGGCAACTTCTGTAAGTCCTTGTCCTGTTTAGTATCCAAATTTAACAGCACAATGGAGATTTCAATTTGTTGAGACTGATCTTAGTGTTACCATTGATCAGTTGATAAATTGGTGAAAGGAAAGGCGAATACAGCACATTGTGTCAGATTTCCAGGTGATTGGTATGATCTTTAGCTGCATACGTTTCTTTTTCTGTAACCTTTTGTTTTACATCTCAAGTTTTATGCACGGGAAACTAGAAGCAGGTTAGGGAACAACCAATCTTTTATCTTGAATGAATGTGCAGTGGCCATCATTTACCCTGACAGTGATTATATATAGGATCAAATCTGCAATGAAGTCACATATTTCAACTTGGCAGAGCTAGACATATGTTTCTTATTACTATTTTGAACCCTTGATTAGATAGGCGATAGTTTTCTTGGGCTTCATCGCAGGAGGAATTTGTCCAGTGTTTCGGAACTTGTCATGATTATGGTTCTCTAGCTTGCAGAAAAACCCTTTCTGTCGGTCTTTCTTTAGACCCCTGACTCTGAAATCAGAAGAAGGGTCTTCCATTTTTGCTACCTGATTTTGCTGACTCTATTTGTTTCCATATTAATTTCTTTGTATTCTTAGGATCCTAATATTAGTATGTCGCTACTGAAAACCTGCTACTCTTTTAGGTTCCATGTTTTTGGAATTGGTCAGAGGTCAGTTGGATTTAGTATTCAAATTGAAGTGAAGGTGGGATCCAAGGTCTCGGTATGTCATATCTACTTGCTCTCTTCCATTTGTATGACAGTCAACGAAACACATGTCTGAGAAAGCAACTTTATTTCTTTGCTCTACCATTGCATCGAGTCATCTGTTGAGCTTGACTGTAGGAGGGAAATGTGTGCTTAAATGTTGTCTAGCAGTCTCGAGATAATTAAGAATAGTATTTGGTAGCAAAATATGACCTGGGCGCTTCGTGCTCTAAGCTCTTCCAGTTGCTTGCCTGTATCCAGAAAATGACATGAGCTCTTCATCAGTTGGCCACTTAAATGGAATCTGTGTTTGTAAAATAGATGTCTTTGTTATCCTATCTCATACATAGATATCCAGTCATCAAGGCTCTTGAATTCAACCTGCTCTTTTTTTCTTCTTCTTCATTTACAGGAAGTGATCTTGGGTCCTGAAAATAGAACAGCTACATCGGAGGACAACTTCCTAAGGGTTAATCTAATTGGAGATTTTGTTGGATACTCAAGCATTCCTTCTTTTGAAGACTTTTACCTCGTGCTTCCAAGACAGGTATGCATTCTTGCTCCCTTCTTTATTATTCTCTCCATGCCTGTAAAATGAAGTGAGCTAGGATCGCTGTAAGCACTAGTTCAGGAGCAACAAATAAATGGTGCTCATGAAACCAATTGAACAAGCCATTTAAGTTTTGATGTTGTGTCCTGAAAGCCATCTTAGCTCGTCAGTTCAAGTGAAGAAGAGTGCACAATATCGAACCAATCCTATGTCTAAGGTCAAGTATACGAACAAGTCCCTTAAGAGAATCAATCTATAACTCAAATTTGAAGATTTATCAGTCTGGGTCAGAAAAGCCATGACGAGTTTTAAGGGACAACAATTCTCTTTGCCTGCGCTGTGAACTCTCTCTTTTTTGACAGGGCGTTGTGAGCTCTCTCTTTTTTAGAACAAGTATCGAATCAGTCCTGTGTCTTAAGGTCAAGTATATGAACAAGCCCCTTAGGAGAATCAATCTCTAAATCGAATTTGAAGATTTATCAGCCTGGACCAGAAACGCCATGGCAAGTTTTAAGGGTCGGCAATTGGCTTCGCCTGCGCTGTGAGCTCTCTTTTTTGACAGGACGTTGTGAGCTCTCTCTCGTTTCTTTATTTCTACTCACTATTTCTTAGAAGCCTCTTTCTACCACATCGCTTAAGCTAATATGTGAAAGCAATTGGATATCATATAAAAGGGGAGCTCGGACATAGTTTTGAAGCATACCTTTCTCGGCCTTTTGGCTAAGATCAAGTGTAGTATCTGTTCTTATCAGTTTAATATCTGATACGTGGGCCAATGGCCCACACGATATTAAATTAATTTTTATAGGGGGAGAAGCCCACCACTGAAGCTTGCTTCAGGGGTTTCTCGCGTGTCGCCCATGTGTTGCACTACTGCACGGGCCTGGCGCACCCCACCAATTATAGTAAAATCTATTATTTGGGCTGGGCTTCTTAGGCCAATTTGTAATCATTTAGAGAAGTGTAACCCTTATGACGAGGTGGCTTTCGGAGGGTGGATAAACGTTGAATGGAATATTTTTTTGCCGTTTCTAGTTTCTACGTTTATACTTCGAGCTTGCAGTTTAGCTTCAATTTGTCCAGTGTATATTCTGTAAATATAAGCCAGCTCATAGTTGATATTTGGTTTGGAAGGGGGGTTCTGGTCACCCACAAGAACTGGGGAGGAACTTTTCTATGTGGATGCTGCTCGAGAGAGTAAGATTTACTCTGGATGGTGTTGAATGCAATAAAATTGGTGTCAGTTATGAGGCTTTCAATGGACAATCAGATTTCTGTGCCTCACCATACTGGAGTTGCCTGCATAATCAGTTGTGGAACTTCTGGGATGTTCGTATTCCTAGTCTTGATTCCTTTCTATCCGATGTTCCATAATCTCCTTCTGTTGCTTATGCAACTTTTACCAAGCTACTGGGCTGTTTGAACTGAGAAGTGCCATCTGATTTGGGACAGGCTGATCAAAACCGAAAATCTAGGAAGCAGCCACCTTTATATCTTGCTGAAGGACGGTTTCAAAGGTTGAATGAACATCCAGTTAAGTGTTAATGCTCATACCCTGATTCATTTTTATCCCCACGAGTCATGATCTCATGTTTATAACGGTTTCAATCCGAACTTAGCATGCAGGGACTCATACGTTCTCCATCGGAATAACTGAGGTTCTTAACACAAACCTGTTGATAGAATTAAGAGCAGATGATATAGAATTTGTCTACCAAAGGTTTGCTTCTCACTTTGTTGCTGGCGTGATGGTAGAATTGATGCTGAAATTTTCTTGTCCCCACTATTTCCTCATCACATCTGCAATGTTTTTCTTCATCAAAGTTCCAGATTAAGGTTGTAAGGCTACTACAGTGATGTACTTTTACTTCAGAAAGTGTGACCATCATAAAACTACGGCCATCTTTTGTGATTTGAATTTCAAGACCTCCATTCACTGTGCATCTGTTCTGATGTTTCCATTTACAGGAGCCCAGGGAAAATTGTAGGGGTTACAGTTCCCACATTTGAAGCCCTAACTCAGTTTGGAACTGCTACTATTACAGCTAAGAATACTGGGAAAGTGGAAGCATCATACAGTTTAACGGTAGAATCCACCCTTCCAGTGCAGTTATTTTATCACGCAACTAACACTACTAATGAGTAATGACAACTGTTATTTATGCATTGTTTTAAGTAAATTGCATTGTCCTGAATTGAAATTTTCAATCAATAAGTTCCAAACTGGAGTGGGTCTATTCAATCATATTATTTTCCTCCTGGTCTAGTAAGTAGATGGTTTTAGATAAACTGGTTGCTGCTTTGACAAATTGCTCCATCTTGCAGTTTGACTGCTCGAAAGGCGTTTCCCTTATGGAGGTACCTTCCTTCAAATGTTCCACTCTTCTTCCTTCGTATGACACATAAAAGTTATAAGTTTTATGAGCATAACTCGTGGGCTGATGACTCAGGAGCAATTCTTCATCATGAAACCAAATGAAATCGCTACTCAATCATTTAAACTATACCCGACAACTGATCAAGCAGCAAGTTATGCATGCTCAGGTAAGTTCATTACCATGAGTGTCCATTTAAGTTCAGTTCATCATGACTACTAATATGAATTATGAAGTAGCATACTGTTTGGAGTCTTAGTATATCTTGTTACTGCAGCTATTCTGAAGGACTCCAATTTCAATGAAGTGGATCGAGCTGATTGCCAATTTTCTACAACAGCTACTACTATAGACAATGGGTCTCAGGTGTGTCTACTTGATTAAATCTTAGTATATCCATCATGTTCGTTTCTTAGCTTATAAAGTTCCATAAAACAATATTTGGAACGCGGTAAAGGTGATCTGGCCTCACTGTAAAAAGTCGGAAGTAAAGGAACTAGATTCTTTGAGTGCTAAAGTCAACGGCAACAGTTCCATATGCGGTTTACTTATAAAGATGGTTTCCGGTTTTTAAAGTTCGGAAATGAATGAGAACTTAGCCTGGGTAAACAGATTGTTCTACTCATGTTTGGGAATTTTGGGCTCTGTTTCGTAAGAGTTAGTTGTAATTCTTACTGAAACTGCACTTTATGTGATTTCCCTCATATATATTGATCAATCTGGTCAGCATGTGTCAATCCTGAAAGATTGTTAATTGTAGGTGAACTGAAGCAATTGCATGGCATTTTCATAAAATATCAGAGTGATTCAGTTATGAAATTTTTGTAGATTGGTCCCTTCGTACCACCAAAGACTGGAGGGAATCTGTTCTCGGAGTCTATTAAAATGATCTGGAACAAACTGTGGGATGGTTTGTTAGACTTCATTACAGGAAGAACTTGCAGGTACATGATCTGGAGTGAGATGTAGTTGAAACATATATTTCTTTTATGTGGAGTATATTGAAGACACATGTAATCTTGCTGTGAACACCTCTTGAACTGATTTATCTGTCACATTTGTTATTAATCCTTCATTCATGTGGCTTAAAATTGCTTCGAAACTCACCTACCACGATGCTCTTTGAATGGACAACCCAAAAACCCTGTATTAATTTGATGTCCAGAAGAAAAACCAATCCAAGGGTGAGACAAGGCTTTGGTCCAGAGCAGAGCCGCTAGTCCTTTACCTTCAACAATTTGCTTCAATTTCTTTTGCCCCATTTAGACAAATAATACCCATATATATAGGCCACGTCGAATGTGAAATGCTTTTTTGAGTATCTGCAATCTTATGTAATAAACCTCAAACTTGCAATGTTTAAGGATGATTTTGCTAACTATGAGAATCATCTTGCTGTTATCAGAATGAAATGCGATGGCTTCTTTGATTTTAAATGCCACATACAGTATATATGCATGAGTTGGATGGTGATGTTTGGTCTACTTCTGGCTATTTTCCCAACAGGTAAAGCCTTGCATATTATTATTTTGTCTGATCTTAAGAATTGAAAGTCGACTTGATTATTTTGGCGTTAACAAAGGAAGCAACTGTAACTGTGATTGCAGTGCTTGTGCTAATCTGGCTTCTACATCAAAAAGGTTTCTTCGATCCTCTTTATGATTGGTGGGAAGATCATCTTGGGCTTGAGAAGCATCGAACCAGAAATATACATAGAAACTACAATCGTGTTAAGAAACACCATGAACATGGAGCTAGGCACCGTACACATGGGACCCACCATAGGCGAAGAAGCATTCATGAGGGTCATAGGCATAATAAGCATTCAGGAGTGGATGCTGACTACTACTATTATCTTCACCATGTTAACAAGGACAGGAATAAGCAGCAGCACTCCAGGAAATCAAGTATCCAGCAGGAAGTGCACTATTTAGGAATGGGGAATGACAAGAATGTCCGGCACCATAGACACAGACACAAAAGAGAACACAGGGACGGTACTTTGACGGCTTGACAAATGGTGAAATATATGATTACAGTGCTTCACCTGCAGGCAATTGATTGATTACACAGCTAGATTGCCTTTTGATTAGGGAAAATAGTTGGACTTGAGTGAATCTTACTGGAAGTCTAGAATGGTTGATTGCAGAATAACTTTCCCATCACATTTTCCCTCTTTTCTGTTTCTCTTTGTTCATTGTAAATTTGGAATACTGAGAGAAAACTTTACATAACTCAGTAATAGGATATTTTGATACATTTAACATTTGTTTTTGTATTTTGCTATGCTATATGGAGTCAGGACTGAAAAAAATTGGATTTGTCCTGGAAAAAGTTCTACTATCTTCTTGAAAAGTTAATGTACTTTTCTTCTGTTAGGCATTCCATGCAATATCCATTTGTTGAAGAAGCATCTTTGCTGTGGCTGCATCTTCTGAACACCCATGACTCGTAAGAAGCCAAACACAAAAACTCTTGTCATTCTGATTCTCTAGGCAAACTGCCTTTGTCTTGTTTTGTAGACATTATGTTAAGTATCTCTTTCCAGGATTTGAACATGATATCCATCAGGAAACTGTAAACCAGGGGTACGTACAATATTTCCTCCTTTGATCTGGTTCCACCTAGAAAAAAGTAAGCAAGAAAAAGGTCAGTCTCCTTGTCTTTCTGCATTTTTCTTTCTGCCAGTTAATGAAAGACACAGTTTTCTCTACCTGTACTTTGTGACCAAGCAGTGTAGAAAAGTTGCCATCTGGACCTTTGTAAATTCTGTACCAACACAAAATCTCATGCCACCGCCAAATGCCATGAAGTGTCTTGTTGCTCCGTTGATTTCTTGTCCCTGTGTGCAATGGTGTTTTAATACAATTAGGATACTGATTAAATTGAACTTTTTGTTCTGTAAGTGAGTTATTTCCAATCATATTAAATAGACTTTAGGACTCACATCCCAGCGCCATGGATTGAAAGTGAGTGGATCTTCATATTTTGTTGGGTTTAAGTGAACAGCTGGGGGACAGACCATAACCGCCCAACCTGCTGGTATGGTATAGTCTGTGTCAAACATAGCGATTAAGAGCAGTTAGAATTATGTTTTGCAAAGAAATTTACTATTAACCGTGGAAACTGTGTGGAAAGTTGTTTAAGCGTACCCTTAAATTGAATATCTCTTTTAACTTTTCTGAAGATTCCTGGAACTATATTTGCCAGTCTAACTGTTTCATTGATGAACTGCAAAGTTGCCTTGTGTTAGACTGTTAGGAACTGGAAACAGAACTTTAATGCAAAATATGAAACCAGGTTGATTGAGTCACCTGAAATGTAAATGTCATTGATTTATACTCTTTCCATGTAAGACCAGAGTCAGGATTCTGCCTTCTATTCACAATAGCTTCATGCTCTTCCTGGCAAAGTATAAAAAGAATGTTAGTTTTCAGAGCTATAATAGTTTGCCAATAAAGAAAATGCTTTAGAATTAATTTTCATACCGTTAACTGCTTCAACACTTTTGGATGGTCAGAAAGGAATTTCATTGCCAATGTTAAAGCCAGAGATGTCGTTTCAAAGCTAGCAAATAGTAGCACAAACATCAAGTCTAGTGCAATTCCTTCTGTAAGGATTGTGTCATCCCTATGAAGTTCTTCAAGTACATGATCAAAGAAATCGCTTTGCTGCTTTCTTCGATTCATCCGTCTTTCGTTTAGCAGGTTCTTGAGCATCTTCATTGCCCTTTTCCTGCCCTGTTGATAAAGCATAAGAGGTTGATTTCTTATAACTGTTGGAAGTTCCTTTTTCTTTATGAAAAATAGTAGGATTCAGTTTGATAATCTTGACATAAATCCTCATACCTGTAGGCATTTGTGATATGCTGTTCCGGGAATATCAATTGGAAAAGAAATTAATCCTTGTATGAATGCTAGAAAGTTCTCCCTCAGATTCTCTGATGAACTATCTTGATCATAACTTATCAACTTCTTTGCGGTAAGATCAAATATCATCTGTAACAAAAGAAAATTTGTCATTATTATATGCACAATAAGAAATCCTGAGAGAGTAACTTTGATAAAGCAGAATGGTTTCAATTACAGTTGCAGTTGCGTCTTTTATCTCCACCGACTCCTGTTGAGACCATTTTTTTAATCTCTTCGATGCTGCCTGTTCAATTTCAGGGATCATTTTCTTGAGGCTTTCAGGGCCAAAGAGATTGAGCACCATGTTCTTCAGGTATTTGTACATAAACCCATGTAATGACCCCACATTCTGTCTTCCAAATATCTCCGTGAATGTGTCTGGGTACCAGCTCTCGAACAAGTGCCCCTCTTGTTGGAAAATGAAGTAGTTGAGATCGGGGTCTGTCGATACTAAAACCGGCCTTCCAACCAAATTAGTCTTGAATATCGGCCCATATCTGAGAGTCAAACGTAAAGGTTAGTCATCAGTAGCAGAAGAATGAGAAGAAGAATGTAAGCAGCCAGAAGGTTGTTTACCTTTTCATCCTCTCTTTAACAAAAGGAGGAATCTCAGAAGTAGTGTTGGGAGCAAAAAACTGAAGGGTCTCACCAATTAGTGGTAACCCCATTGAACCCGGTGGGAGTTTCCCATTACATCTGGGATTTCTCCAACGGTATACCCACCTTATGAGGCCTATAACAAGCAGAGCTAGAAACCAGAAACCCCACATGATGGAGCTTAAATGCAAGTAGGAAAAGGAAAGATCTTTAATTGGAAAAGAAAGCACTATGATGTTGATGATCTGCCTTTTTGCTAGAAATGGAAATGTAAACAGGTGATGAGGGGAGAAGTCTGAGACTTCTGAGATGGGAAGACGTGGGAGGAATAGACAGGAAATAAAAGTGCAGTGCTGGTTTGTCTCTCAGCTACCATGTCGAGATCTTATATATAGGCGTGGTATAAGTTGGAAATTCGTTGGAGAATATAGTATTACTAAGCTCCAGCTTTTGTGTATTCATTAGTTTAAGTTGCTTCGGGAAGTTGTTGAAATATTGAATAGAATATTAGATTAAACCTATTCCTGTCTAGAGACCAGTCAGTTACTACCCTTTTGTCAACGTTATTCTCTCTGAACATGAAGCCTGCTAGATGTTTCGTCCCTTTGTATCTCTAAGCATGGTCCAATAGGATTAAGTGAAACTGAGGAAGGAAGCAAGGGACTGAACTTTTTGTCATTTTCTTAAGACAACTATCGTTGAAGAATAGTTAGAGCGATTCCCCAAAGATTTGTGAGGATAGAGGTTCAAAGTATCCGTCTGAAACCAATCTTTATACGTCACATAGCATATACTGAATTCTAATTGGGTTTTACTACTACTTCAAATCTTTTCCAATATCTATGCTAAATATCGGTGTATCTTTGTGATGTTATATATGCTCTCTCTGCAAATTAATAAAGATAGCCTGCTTCGCATGTTCTTAATTAGTAACTTGTTTCTGTTGGGAATTAAGATCCCAATATGATCTCATCCTAGATCTTCTTAACTTAGCTGTAATCATTGGGGAGTCAGTTCCAAATGTCTTTTTACCGAAGATTCAACAGATCTTATTGCATACATCACTGTGATCTCTAGCCTGAATTGTTCTTAACCTTCTAGATGAATTTCCATCTAACCTCTTATTCGTTAGGTCCCTGCTTACTGTCATGAACCAGTTGATCCCAATAACTCGAGTTGTTGGGAGAAGGTTATGCTGGATCTTATACCACTCTCTAACACGCCCCCTCAAACGAAAGCCAACCCACGGGCTTGAAGATTGCACAGGCCCACCATACCATGTGCTTGAAAGACAACGGTTAATATTGGGGGTCGTGGAGATTCGAACACATGACCTTTCGGTTTTAGGCTCTGATACCATGTCATGAACCAGTTGATCCCAATAACTCGAGTTGTTGGGAGAAGGTTATGCATGCTGGATCTTGTACCACTCTCTAACACTTACCTATATTCAACAGGTTTATCTCCTTTCAAGTTTTTCAACACATACAGCATTGGCCCTTCCCATTGAGCCGCGGCCTTGGACCTCTATCGCAACAACTTCAACAAGATGTAGGTAGGTCACTATGCATTCATGCTCCTCCATATGCGTCGATTAAATAGAAGATTATTCTATTGATCACTTTACTTGTCACTGTTTAGCAACTTTGTGAGTCACTATTATGCATAGTATTTGAGTCGTAGATAAGTAAGTAGGTAAGTATGTAGGGGTCCTTCCACCATTAACTCATGTGTATTCTTTTCGAAATGTGGATCTGCAGCGCCTTCTACTATGGCTACAAAACTTTAAAGATCAACCCAATTCTTAGAATGAAGTCGTTTGAACTTCTGACAGTGAAATCCCACCAAAATAGCTGTCTAAGTTGTGATTAAGGTAGAGGTTTAGTTTAGTTTAGTTTAGTTTAGTTTAGCTGGATATCATCCTGAGATTAGTACAACAAAAGTCCTTCCTTTTATGTTATCCGAACTGATCTCAGGATTATATTCGATGATTTGTTTTCCGGGTGCTTCATTTAGATTGTCTGAGAGAAAGGAGTCTTTGAAGGAAATAACACAGATAGTTTATCTGCCTGGGAATAACTGTAAAGGGTTAGACAGCAATGACAGCTCAAGTCAGTTCTGAGATAGAGGGATTCTTAAGAGACTTAAATTATGAGATACATCTGATAATACATTACTGTATAAATTGCCATGAGCTCAAGTTTTCTTGCAATGTAGTCCCTTAAAGTAAGGTTTTAAAATGAAGAAAAGGGGACAATCTCATGTCTGGTGGTAATATATAATAGGGATCAGGAGGGCCTACATGTAGCACCCAAAAAGGCAAAAAGAAAATATATAAATAATCATATGTGGTGGGAAACCACATGGAGGGAGGGGTCGATATCAGAGAGATCTTCTTCTTCCATGGGCGGTAACAAAGAAGAAATTGAAAGCTGATGAGCCATCTGATTAATGTGGGGTTTTCTTCGGTTCTACAGATCCAACGGCTCAGCATTATCAAAGCTGTTGACTTGCTAGGATATATTCTTCATTAGATTGGTGGCTGAGCTTTCTTGATCATTGGGAGTTGCTTGCTACAACTCTTTTCTCCATTTGTACGTGTCATACATGTTGTTGCCAAGGAAGAGGAAGGAGAAGGGCGGCAATTTGGGATATGATGCCTTCCAAATCCAGCTGTGCGCTGTTGTTGAAACTTGAAACACTATAGATAGAATATAATAGACTTGGTGGGAAATGAGAATGGGCGCATAATTAACCAGCTGAATAATTTGGACAACTGTTTCTTCACATAACTTGAGTCTGAATTCTGAAATGCTCTCTCTCTCTCTCTCGTGTCATTAATGTTGCTTCTCGTGTTTCACTGTCGTGAAAGTCGGGGGCTCAACTCAATTTTGTTCTTTAGTGCAGGAGCAGGAAACTCTCCAGGTTTGAACTGAATGAAGAACCAATTATGCTGATGGGGTAGATGCTGTTCAATGAAGCGATACCGCGAGCTCAATCGTTAGATGCATGCGAAGATAGTATTCGTAAATGTGTCGTTACATGCCTCTTAACAGCTAATATTGCAGAGCTATCGCTTGGTCAATAAATGTTGCTAGTTGAAGAGTGTAGATTGATTGATTCCTCAGGAAATTGCCAGTGGTTGGGTTGCTTGAGAAGTGGTGTACTGAGTGGCCAGAAGGAGACCAGAGGTATAGTGATGATGGGAAGGAATGAGCAAATGGTGAGTAAAGCCAGAGTTGAAAGTTGCACGAGGGGCGAGAGAGGATTAAGGAGAAAATTGTTGCCCTTGTCTGTTGTTCCGTGCGGGTAGATGGAGGAGCCACGGTCACAAGTTTTCTAACAAGAGCAGTTTTCTATGAAAACAACTCAGCTGGGCACAAGTTTCAGGGTATGAAATTAACTAGCCTTGGTAAAAGTCCAACTCTAGAAGTCAAAGGAGAGAAAGTTGACATTTGATTAGTGTTTTTGCTTTCACTGTTCCATAGGCGCGCTTTGTCAGCCCTCTCTTGCTGATCAATTAAATGGTAATTAACAGACATGTTAATCATGTGATCAGAGTTTAGAATTGCAAATTTTTTGGATTATGGATGCTCTGGAGTTGGCAACGAGGAAAAGCACGGTAGCACACGAAAGGGATGGAGTGAAAATGAGAAGTTGTTGTAACTACTGAGTTCTGAGCTTTTGTCTCATTGATCTAGAATTGGTGGAGGACTCATCGAATATAGAACATTAAGAGATGTCATCATTTTGGAAAGATTAGCTACCTTTTTTTAATTCTTTATCTACCAGCATGTTTAAGTATGCCTCACTTCAATTAATCATGTCTTACGCCGATTAATCGTATCCAACTTCATCTAGACGTTTTCTCGTTGCCTTTCGTCTAAACGTATTTAACATGAAATTATACCTTCTTAGAACCCTAATTATTAAATTTTTGGAGAGTTCCCGATTAACTTGAATTCTGAGCCCTCACAAGGGCACTGTTCCCCACCGTCATCATCATTTCCAACTTAACAGGACAGATAATTTTCAGTTAATTAATTATTACTATTATATGATTATAGTACTAAACGCGTAACCTAAATTATAATATCCACGACATGAAGCGGTGATTGATGTCTTGACACTCCAAGTTTAGAGGCTTCATCTTTGAGTGGTCTCTTTGGTCAATCAAAGGGACCAAACTTGAGAATTGTTAATCAGTTAGATGCTTATCTTGACCCCCCTAGCTTAGCTTAATTAATTAGTAAGTTGTCAGGTTGACTTCTAGATCCAATGCACGTAAAGTAGGTACCTGAGTCGGTTTTTGCTTATCTCAATTTCTATGATTGATCCCAAGAGAAAGTAAGTTATACAATTATCGATAATGACTCACGATGGGTTTTCATATTTTGAAAGAAAAAATTGTAAATATATTCATCATCCAAACAGTAAAAAATGTCACTCGCAATGTATAGTAAAAAACCAATCATGATATCATCACTCGTTCAATTTCGAAGAGTATTCTTCACGTAGTGCATTGCTGAAAATATTATTTAAACACTTACCGTGGTGATTGGTGGAGGCCGGAGGCTTATTTTTATGACTACTTTCCGATTTTTAGTTGGGTAAGGAGACAATTAGGAATTTGAGGTGATGAGTTTTACGTAGTTGTAATCGACAAATTAACTATATATACAATAAAATGTATTAAGGCATCATGTAAGTAACTATGGTATCATGGAAAATACCAAAACTAATAATAAGAAGGTTTCATCTTCAAATTTCAGTTAAAGCATCAACTTAAAGTCTTAATTTTTTATATTCAAGTTCCAAACCAGGGGTGCCATGCAACCCCCTATTCCCCTATTTATGTCATCTATCATATTTACTAAAGAAGTGATATATTGCTCTATGTTAGTAAACATGTTCGATTGTACATTCTCGTTGGACCATTCGATCTAGAGATCAATTTACAAAGATTGATGCATCGTGAGTGTTATATCTCATTCACTATGGTCTCTTGTTTTTCTTGATGCTTATGATCGCTAAATTTGTGCTTCATAAATTGCTCGAAGACTTTTCATATAAGAGGCCACTTCTTAATAATAACGACCGGAATTTTTTTTACTTATAATCAATTATTCAATATGAAAAATAGTAAGCTCACACCTCCTGTTCTTTGAGTCCATGGACTACTAACTACTCTTTTCCAGACCGAGTATTGACCAACTAATGAATTAAGCCATGTTCATCGACTCATCCTCTATTTAGGAGTTAAAATTCGTCATTCAGAAGGCTTGATGACAAGATTGCTATATAAGAAACTTTATATAAATTTCAAGCGTATGCACATATTAACATAGTTTCTGTTTAGCACGGCAAAGACCATTTGGATAAGAACTATGACAAAATAGATGATATTTGTCCACCAAAGCTTGAAATTCCAAATGAACAGACCCAAAATCGAACAACTAGCTTGTATTAATATTTAATAGTATAGTTGATATGAGATCTAGTGGTCAGAGTAATTGTAATGCTGAAGATTTCGCGGTGAAGCTTCTTGAATGATCAGGTACGATCAAATGACAGTTATATCGATAATTAGGGCTAAACACAGTGGTAATGTTTTAGTTAATCCGAGATTATGGAAACTAATCCTTTGGTTGACATTCCAAATTGAACTATTATATAGCAGGGGCCACCCCATTCCTTCTCTTTCATATCGTTTCAAGATTGCCGCCAAGTAGTTGAGATGCTGTAAGTAGCTGTTCTGAAAAGCTCTTTTCACCCAAAACCAAACGCGCAAACTTCTTGAAGTGGATAACTACAATGTGACGCTTATGTGCTCTTAGCCTCTTACAATATTGATAATCCATAACAGACAATATCGATATCGCATCATGCACAGTCACAAACTACAACATAAAGAAGAAAGGTAAGACGAAGGGCCAGATACAGGAACTACTAGCCAAGCAAAATCAAGCACTTGCTGTGAATCCTAGCAAGTTCAGTCACTATGCCGTTCCCAGTTAAACAAGCACTCTAAACTTCTGAGCCACTAACTTAAAGATCCAAACTTTTTCAGTATGCAATAGAAGTAAGAATGGGGTGAACCTTGTGTGTCAGAAGGAGGGCTCCTTTCAGGGAAATTGCGCTGCTGGTCGCGATGTCCACTTGGATCATTGCGGGGTATAATGTATGAGAAGAAGGTTACAAGGGGAGCTTTTAAAGCATTCTACTTTTGAAGTTTTGAGGTAGAGAGCTTTGTTAGCTTCCTGTCGTGGTTGAGCATGGAACTTACACTCTCCACCACCAAAACAATCTGAAGTTGAAAAGAATAAAAGAATAAGACATCCTTAGTCTGCCACTTATGAACATGAAGGGAACTGTTATAATGAAGTTGGAAAAAGAATAGCATACCTGGAAGCAAGCATAAGCCATTGCAGTTGCATAGTAGAAGTTTGCATTGCCAGTGCCCTGCATATTTTTTTTTTTGTTTACATACATTATAACATAGAAATGATACTGTTGAATGGGAGGACTACAACACATCACAAGATTACGTACCCGCCAAATCCAAAGATTGTGCATCACCGGGCTAAGTAGGGACACCCCAACATATCCACAGAAGAGGAAGAAAGAGAACTGCATATCTGGGACAAATGTTATGTAGAGAAGCTATAAGAACGAAGCCATAATACCCTCCTCAAACCAACCAGAAACAACAGAGGAACTTACCGGCTAATTCATCAAGAAACAAACCCAAGAGACCTAGGTATAAAGCAGAGTCGCCAACCTGATTAAATGAGCAGCAAAGACAGTAGCAATATGTTATTAACTATATTGTCAATAATAACAAAGCTATGTGTTTGTAATGAACTCGTCATTCTCTCAATGAGGGATAAAAACCGAAACTTTATCATATGCACAAACAAAATACAAAAGAGAGCATAGTTTTCAAACATAGTATGGATTACTTACCGAGGGATATGATTTAAGCATTGAAGAAATGGCAATGTAGACAAAAGCAAGGAAGCAAGGTCGGTGCTTTAGCCGTATGGCCAATGGAAGTATCATGAATAATATATTTGAATGGAACACAATCAAAAAGAAATCCCGGAAGAAGTCGAAAACTTCAGCAAAGAAGTACCTGCATCAGAAATTGCATGCCTGATAAGGTGCACGAAATAATAACTCCCCTGTATGTAGTTTCAGATTACACCATGATGAATAACAATAAGAAACATTGGACTAACCACAAAACCCCTATATTTGGGGACAAATCTTCCACTGTAAGTATGAACCCATACGTTCTGCAAATGAAAAACAAAATTATAAATACCTTCCAGAACCCATTATAAATACGTTCTGCAAACCTCAACAAAGCATCAGTTCATATTTCCCACTACATGATTTATACTATCCAAAACCAATATATCTCAATAAGCACCTTTGAAACATTTCCTGCAGACTGCCATGCTGCTTGACTGATATGCTGCATAGAACCAACACATAAACTGACCACAAGGAAGTCCAAACTAACAAATGAAAGACTCTTCTCCATGAAAATATGATTTCCTGGCTTGATTTGCCGTCTCCAACTTTACCATGTTCCTTGCTTCTGAATAACTTACTAGGAGGAGCATCTGGACCATACCCCAATAAAAGAATCACCTGTAACAACAGTAAAATCATACATACCACTGTAAGAGCTTCTAAAATGTTCTAGAAATGGAGTCATGTGTACTCCGGAGAGAGAGGAGCGGGGGGATAAAACCAAGAACCAGAATAGGAGAGGTTTACCGGAATAATTAGGATTGCAGGGTATAAAGACAAATGCGTGGCCATGACCCAGCCAAAAGCTGCCAGAGGTGCTAGTCCTGTTGGCCATCAAAACAACAATTTGTTATCCACATCTGTAGTCTTTTTCCCTTGCTCCGAGAAACTGAACCAAACTGATGTTATTATTCATACACAAATAAACTCAAAATAAGAATAAGAGTCAGCATCCTACCAGTAGCAGCTCCATAAAGGGTCAGTATAGTGAAAAGGTTTTCTACAGGAGATGTGGACAAACCCACACAAGCAACTATCGTGAAAGGATTCCATAAGTATACCAGAGCAGCAATATCTCCAGAAGAAAGTGCACCTGGTTGCGAAATCAAGTTGCATTTCATCAGCATGTTGTGATAGTTTCAACCCAATGTAATATGGTATGTGTATAATCAATTAAAAATCCTTGCTGAGACAAGCTCTTACAATCCAAAATTTCCTATCACCAGATTTTTCCAAGTTCTATATTTTGGCACACTGATTTCAGAGACATCATGTTCAATGTACCTTACATAAGCGGAAAACTGTTGAAATTTAATTCAACCAGAAACTTTAAGCGCCTTTTCACCCAAAAAATAAAAGCTACCTGAATCTGTGGATTTATTCAGCAGATTAAGTGATTTCAAGCTTTTTCTATACGCTATCTGTAGCTTCCGACCAGTAGCACGAATCAGAATAGAACTGATCAAGTCTGCAAGAACAAAAACCAAACTGTATCCAACTGTAAGAGTGACAGAGGCATATAGAGGGAGAAACCCACAGCCATGAGATCAGTGCTTAGTCGTTGAAGCATGAAACATAATTGGCACCCTGAAAACACTGAAACCACCAAACAGCAGATATTTTCTTTCTAGATCAACTTTGAACGCATGCTAGATACTCATAAACAATCAGAAAACACCAAACTACACAAAGAAAATGGGTAATTAACTAATTATACTCTAATATATATAGCATGCCTCTTAAAATAACAGATGCCAACATGACTGAACCAGAAAAGTGTTCCAGTCACTTCCAGACCATTTTGGCAAATATGCTTTCACGTCTAGAAAGAGAAAGTGCAATTGTGAGGCATACCTGCATAAAATGTGACTGGGCTGTCCTTCAATTCTGCAATGGGCAACAGAGTCGGTCAGTATAGTTCTACTTCAAAACAAAAAGAATTCAAATACCATAAACTGTTGTCCATTATAATGAGAAGCAGAAGGCCAATCGATTAGGATGTATGCACAAAGGATTAACAAATTCTCCCTATTTTTCATTTAAGTTTTTCGAGAATCTTTATCATATGCACAATTTGAACAAAACAACTGAACGGGGTTACCTTTTGACAGTGAGAGGCCCAAGAACAGAGAGCAGCAATGGAGAGCCATGGTACATAGATCCTACGAACGCAAACCCCAAACCCGTTAAACCAAATTTCAGCTCATCCCAATCAACAAGGGAAAGAAATTCAATTAGTTTCAAGAGCCCTAGATGCAAAGATCAGACTTTTTGAATTCTCAACAAACCTGCATAAGGAGACATTGATGATTGCTTCAACCAGTACCCCTCTGCCACTGAAGAAACACAAAGAAGCACCAATCGGAATCAGCAAATCCAATTTCAGATACTCAACGAAAAAGTAGGGGGCATAGTGAGAGAGATAAGAGGAAAGTACGGCGACGAATGGATGTGAGGGGAGTGGAGACTTCCGGACGAGAAGACAGGTTGAGATTCCCCGGGAAGTAAATGAGAGCTAGACGGAAGATCACGGCGACCACCGCCCATCGAGTGAACCCTCCTCCGCCGCCGTGATTCTTCTGCAGTTCGCTTTTGCTGTTTTCCTCTTCTGTATTGGCCGTCGGCATTTTTTCGAGCTTCGGCGCCGGTCAGTGTGTTAGCCTGAGCTGAGACTGAGAGTCAAAAGAGACTAGGAGTAGGAGCGTTCACTGCCGGCTCTCAGATTGTTTATCGTCTGCACGCAGTCGTTTTAGCATTTTGGGCCTCTGTCTTGCGTCGGTTAAGTCCGTCAGATCGTTTGTCGGGCCATCTATGGTGTTCAAACTGATATCCTCAAGCCCATGACTATCAGGCTTGGGCTAGATTGCCGAAGCCAAACTCTGCAATTCATTCTACACAATTGACAAGTTTCAAGTGTGTAGAATGTTCCACAACAACCCAGTGTGCATCAAGAGACCAAAGTACAACGAACTCCAATCAAATAGACACAAGAGTGTACTTATCTCCACCTGTCTCATCCTTTATTCTTTATCGCCTTTTTTTCTTCTTATTGTGGCCATTTACCGAATTTTGGTGGATAGATAAAAATATATTCCTGTGGCATTGAGAAAGCATAATTAAAATTTATAATTTTAGTTTAACTGTTTATCAAATTTAATGTTAATTCCTTAAGTAGTGCGAAAGCATAAATTATACGCTATTTTGAGGAATAAAGACTCGCTTTAGTGGTAATATCTTTAATTTTGAAACAAACGGTATTAAGTTCAAATCACTTAATAATATTAGAATTATCGACAAAAATTTGTAAACATATAAAAAATAGCAGACATGAGGAAACATATAACAAATAATGAAAGAAGATTTTTATTCATTTTATAGTACTCAATATAATGGATTGCGTAGAGTTAAGGATGACATATATTTGATTTTTATAATTAGGTGCTACTAAAAGGATTCAAAATTGAGACTTTCAATTTCAACACTAATAATATTATCACTAAATCAAACCCCTTTTACCTTACCATTATAATTATCTTATTGAAAAAATAAACCACAATCAAATTTAGTGACAATAGAGAAACTTAACATTTGGTTATACTCCCCACTGAAAGATGAAAATTTTGACCAGAAAATGATAATCTGTAAAAATTTAAATTAAATTTATAATCCGGTCAAAAATTTATCCATTTTCTGTCCTTCTCCAGATGAGAAAAGGAAGAAAAAAGGTAACAAATAAAATGTATATTACTATTATTTCATCATCCATTGCTTAAGGTCAGGGGAACTCAATAGGAGACGAAAGCTTTCACCTCCGGGCCAACACGACTCATCACTTTCTAAAATTCTCTCGATTCTCAAGCAATGGCGAGACCCAACCAGGAAGCAATCGATACATTCATCAGCATCACCGGCGCCACCGAATCCGTCGCCGTTCAGAAACTCGAGGTCGGTTGCTCTTCTCTTCGCCTCCGGCTTAACTTTAGCACCCCTTCCAGATATTTTTCTATTATCAGCGGGCAGTTTGGGAATTGATGGAGATTTTTTCGGCTTCTGCTATCTGCGGTACCAACTGAGTTTGCAGCTTTGGGTGTTGGTTTCGTTTTCTCTGACTGTTGATTAGGGTTTCTGCTTCTCTTAGCATTGGTGATTGATTGAAAGGCGCTGGATTCCGTGTGGGATTAGTGAAAGTAGACTATGCATTTTTTCCAATTGTTGTTAGGATCGGTGGAATTGTTATTGGGTTCCTACGGAAGCTGAGTAAAGTTCGTTTCTTTCCGCTCAAGTCAGTTTAAGTGATTGTCAGGGAAGCATGGAATCTAGGATTTCATATCATTGTCTTGGTCAATTTTGTGGTCGCTTGAGTACGTATGTGTGAACTTTTTCGATGATTCGTTATATTGTACTGATGATTCCATGGACGTGGCTGCTGTTTGAGAGCACTTGGAGAAAATCACGAGTAACTATCCTGTCCTTACTGATTTTTTTTGGTCATGTGCCCGTATTCCATTTAACTGGCTGGTCTTGTTCCCATAGCGCTCTAAATTGATTAGTTAAAATCCGAATTTTGGCGCTTTGGCTTAGTTGCTTGGATCATGTTTACAGACCATGGATCTGGGTTGTTCTTAGAAATTAGATATTTAGTTTGTACTCCAGAGCTTCAGATGCTTGATTTCTTTCTAGTTTATAGCTAGTTTTGAAGAATTTTCTCTCATTTTTTCCCCCTTCCTTTGTTGTTCTAAGAACTTGTAAGCTTATGGTGCCAGATTTTGTTTTTCCTAAATAACTGTCAACTTTTTTGGCATAATTAGGAGCATGCAGGTGATCTCAATGCAGCTGTCAATGCCCATTTCAGTGAAGGAGACAGAAGCAGGTAGTGATTTGTAGCTGTGTTCAGTCTGTTTGGTTTCACTGATTTTGGACATTTTGCTCCATGTTCATCGTTAGTTCGCGTTTAGGTAGTGCCTGTTCTTCAATTGTGAGCTGTTATTGATATTTCAAGTTGCTTTTCCGAATGTGCAGCTTCAATGCGCCATCTGTCCCTGCTCGCGAAGATGACATGATGGATATAGATGATGATCCAATTGAAACTGCACCGGCCAGGAGACATCCCTTGTCTCTTCTCTCGGATCCAGGTCTTACAAACCCATTCTCACTCCTCGATCCACAATTTCCGAGAAGCTTGTTTGGTGGTGTTTCGGATGTTGGGAACCGTGCCCCATTTGTTACACAACCAAGACAAGTGAGAGAGATACCAATAGAGGTCAAGGACAACCCTGATACTTCTGGTCGGTCAGGTCATGACCCTGTTATCGAGGATGTAACTGGAACTGATTTGGCAGATGAAACTGGTGTCCATGGGACTGTAATTGTTGATGTTGAAGATGATGATGTTATTCTTCCTGGACCCAATGCAAATGCTGCTGCTAACCGAGACAGGCAATATGTAGATGTTTTAGGTGTCAGTTCTCATGAGGGAGCCAGGCCTGGAACACCAGTACTTAATAATTCACTGGAATATAGCAATGACATAGAAGAAGAGATGGTTAGGGCTGCCATTGAAGCTTCAAAACGTGAGGCTGGGGTAAGAAATTCAGTAGAGTGCATTTTGTTTCCTTTTATTCTCTTTGCTCCTTGTCTTAAATATTCTTATGGATTAATTGGTTGATGTGTTTATCACACTTGTTGAACAGGGATTAGGTGATCCTGGACCTTGGCAAAGCCAATATCATTCTGGCGGTGATGAATTAGAACATGCAGTTTCATTATCCATGAAGGTTTTTGTTGTTCTTTTCACATCTGAGTTTATATTTAATATACATGCTTTGTCCATGTCTAACCTGAGATTTTTTCAGGCTGCAGAGCAGGAAAATGCATTGCGTGAGGGGAAGGGCAAGGTTGGAGTGTCAGAAGTAGGAACCTCTGAGCCTGAGACTGCAATAGGGGCTTCGAATGGGAGGTGTGTCTCTCGTGTTACTTGGCTAACACACACAACGGTTTCTGGTTTTCAGACTTACTAAGTCAGTTTGGCATTGAATTCTCCTATAACAAATTGCTGGAGAAGGAAACCCCAAATTGGATCTCACTGCTTGCAGGGAAGCAATTTGATAGGGGTTTTTTCTGGACATGGTGCAGGTTAGAGACGGGCGGATCATCTTTCCAAGATGAAGTTGAAGAAGATGTGGAGGAGCAACCTCTCATCCGGCATAGGTCAAGACATACATCTTCTAGCTCTCTGGAGTCTGCCAAAGATGGGGTTACTGAGGCTGACCAACCATTAAGTGCCATAGAGAGTAACAATGCAAGCAGTGAAACAGGGATTAATGGAAATGCTTTTCCTGCCGAGGTAACTTGAAGTGCTTAAATATTTTTAGCATTACTTCAGCCTTCTGTTGATATTGGATACTAAGCTTATATATTTAACTTTGTCTTTGAAGTGGGGCGGCATTTCTTCTGAGGAACATGATGAAGCAGTGATGCTTGAGGCAGCAATGTTCGGTGGAATTCCTGAAGCATCTGGATATCAATACCCTTATGCACCTCATCAGTTCATGCAAAGAGAAGGCGGCCCTTACCATAGGCCAGCACCACGTCCTCCATCACCTTCTCTACAAGCTCAACGTTCGATCCGTGAGCAACAGGTCGCTATAATTATAACTGAAGACTCAAATTTGCACCACCGTAGGGTGTGTTTGTGTTGGCTAAAATATAAGTAACTGCAAAAGAGTCCCTAAAACAGATACTTCTTCAATCTAACTTTATAAAACAACTATGCACTCCAAATTTCATCTAATCTAAAAGCCACCTCACTTATAAAACTTCATTTCCATAGTTATTTTTTGAAATTAACTCTTTCTGTTTTCATATCCTCATACCATCTTTCTTTAAAAACAAATACAGCATTGCTTTTGTATGTTTGACTTCTTGCGGTGGGGGTGCAGGATGATGAGTATCTTGCATCATTGGCTGCTGATCGAGAGAAAGCTGAAGCACGTCGTTTGGAAGAGGAAGCAGCTAGGGCAGCTGCGCTTGAACAAGAGAAACTGAAAGAGGAAGACAATCGTAAGAAGTTGGAGGAAGCACAGGTAAAGTTTGTTGCATACCACACGTGATAGTATTTCCCTTTTTCTTGGGGTTCTGAGTATGAATTAAAATTTGTTGTGCCTGGCAGGAAATCGAGAGACAATTGGCTGCTAAGGAAGCTTCGCTACCGCAGGAGCCAACTCCTGATGAAGAAAATGCTGTTACGCTCTTGGTGCGTACCCCTGATGGTGCCCGCCATGGACGTCGGTTTCTCAAGTCAGACCGCTTGCAGGTAAGATCTTCTGTGAAAAGAACAACACCAACCTTCAACGTATTTTACATCCACCTATGGGGGTTCCCTTAGTAAATGTTTGTTTTACTGTGACAGTCCCTTTTTGACTTCATTGATGTCACTAGAGTGGTGAAGCCCGGCACGTACAGATTGGTAACACTTCCATCTTTGTGCTTAATATTTATCCTGGAGTTGATCTAGACCATCATCAGTTTTCTGATTGGAATCAAATGTGTTATGTTTTTTCTTGGACAGGTGAGGCCGTACCCTAGGCGAGCCTTCAGTGATGGAGAGACGGCCTTAACCTTGAGTGAACTTGGCCTGACCAGCAAACAAGAAGCCTTATTTCTGGAGTTGATCTAGAATATGTATAATGTCAAACTTGTAGAGGGGAGTCTTTCCTTTTTCAGTTTAACTTATTAGTTATTATTGAAACATTAGAAGTTCATACATGAAATTGGCGGGGGAGGGAAAACGTGGGGATTGTATTATGCTGTTGGGTTTGCTTGCACATAGCAGAAACATTCAGTTCAGTGTGCATGGCGACGAGCTAGAATCATGTGGTGTGGTGGTGTTGGTTGATCATGTACAGACATAATAGTATTTTTCCCAGATATTGAATGTGGATTTGGAGGGCATATGGTGGGCATAGCTCTTCTTTGTGGAAGCATGAGCTAGCATCAGCCTGGCAGCCTGCCACTGGTTAGGATGCTCGGGTGGGGTCGATGATCGGTGGATCGTCATTGTCATTGCGTGCATTCAACGGTCGGTGGAACATGTTCTAAAGATGAATCGTGATTGTCATCGCATACAAAACATGCATATCCAATAAGTGCTAGCAGACAACCTGAATGAAGAACATTCAGAACAAACGTTTATATGTCTTTATGGTTGCAGCCAAAGGAGTGGTGGGCGCAATCAGTAAATTTTCAGGAATCTGAGGGATGGGGTGTTGGAGAAAATATTACGCCTTTGCTTCAACGGTCATTACTCTCAATTACCACTCCTGCCTTCGTCTTACATTTTTACCGTTGGCTGTTGGTGGTGGTAGCTGTGCGTAGAATTACAGCTGGGTCCTTCCCTTCTTTTCAGTTTAATTATTAGAGAGGAAAGGTTGATCATTGTCCACATAATTGTGTTTCTCGTAGGGGAGACACGTTAAGCAACAAGTTTTACTTACCATTTATGGTGAATTATGAATAAACCTAAAACTTCTATTTGTTGCTAAATAGTTTTAAAAACAAAAGCAAACATTGCCGTTTGTGTCGTATTTTCCGGTAGGAATTGTCGATTTTTTCCCGTTTAATGTCTATTTTAATGGTTGTTTCTTCTTTACTTAACTATGTTGGTGTTGTTTGTCGAAAGCTACGGTTTGCGTAGACTTTTGAAGATGAATTGTGGGTTGATTGATAGTTGAGACAGTGTTGCTCGTGTTTGTTGCTGGTTATAGTGTACTATAGTATCAATGATATACAAAGAATGCGCTTTTGGCAAATTGGACAAATATTATTACTATTTACCTTCTTTTAACCATCTTGGAATTATGTTAATATATATTCGATATTTCTATTATTCTTTAGCCTTTCTTAAATCTTTTTCTCGATAATGACTGTAAATATCTGAATCGATAACCTTAACGAATCTTAGAATTCCAACGATCTAACAAACTGACATTTCCAATAATTTATCTCATCCACATTGAACAATCGGGAGACGGCCTCTGTTCTAGCTACTATTCACTCAGATTATGGGATTGTTTTAATTAATCCGCTGCTTAATTTGCGGGAAAAGTCCATTTTCATCAAAAGCTAGAGACGTCATCAGTTTCCGGAAAAAGATGCGTTCAAGGAATTATAATACCGTGTCATAAAAAGGCCATACAAGGTCACGTGGCAAATCCAGATAAAGAAATGGACTAAGAAATGAAGGCCCACGTAATCTACTACTCTGGGCCACGCGGCCCACGCCCCACTAAACTATCCAAGTGAGACACCCCGCCCACGTATACTTTGCCACGCAATAATCACCATCTTTAATGGCGGCTTCGTCTTCCTCCACGTGTCTAACCCTTTTCCCCTACGTACTTAACTTAACTTATCCAGGCTTGACAAGTGGTAATCAAGCACTCTAATCAAAGGAGGTTAAGTGAGGTGAAGTTGATTAACTTTTTACCCCAACGGTCCCCTGAAACGGGCATAAAAATCCGTCCGTCCTAGGAGGGTGTCAGCGGCCACGTGCGCTCCACGTGTCATGCCACTGAGGCTGCACATCCACCAAACAAAAAGATAAATCTGAAAAAAGAAATGTAATATTATACGGAGCCCACACGTCCTCTCACTCTCACTGCTCCGTTCTAGATACCAACTTTCAACGGTCATATTTGACGGACATCTTCCAACGGTCACTTGAAACTGAGCGTCCACACCGTCCGATCTTCAATCCAACGGCTCCAGAACCATCAAACATTTTCCCTAACACACACAGTAATTTATGTTTTCGGTTAGATAATAAAATAACAATTAATAATGGCGGGGAGGGAGGGAGGTCCACCGGATGTAGAAAAGCAGCTATGATGGAGACAGCCATTGGAGCTCTTCAGTAGGGGAGTAGTAGGAGAAACGTATTAGCCAGTAGAGAGAGAGTGAGGGATAGTGAGAGGAGAGAAGAGCGAGAGAGAGAGAGAGAGACAGTAGGGGGGAAGGGAGAGACGTAGCTTTACTAGGTCTGCAGAGTTGTTGCATAAAGACTGAAACTTTGGATGTTTTAGGTTCGTTTGGGGAAATAGTGTTTTGGATTAAGACAAGAGGGTTTTTGGAGATGAGGGTTCTTTCTTGATTGTTCTGTTTGTTTTTGGGGTCATGCATGAGGTTTCTGGATAATGCATTGAGTCGTGTTTTCCGTGTAATGGGTTTGCTGAAGGCGTCATATGTTCATCTGGGTCGAGGGATTTCTATTGATTTGAGCGTTCAAGAGCTTTCAACTATGTGTGTTCTTGTTCATTTCTTGACTCTGATGAGTTTGGTTTGTTGACGGTTTTGGAATCCGATGATTTCTTGTATTTGTCTTGTAACTGTTTGATGAATTGTCTAGTCTAGCAAAAACAAATTCTTTCGTTATTTCTGGGTTGGGGTGGGACATTGATTGATCATTCATTCATTCATTCATTCTTCCTGTTGATAATCCAAATTCTTTCATTCTATTTGTCAAATACATACATCATACTATAGGTATTCAGTTGATTCTTTATTATAGGCTTCCTTTGGTTTTTCTCATCGGATTCCTGTTTTTTTCTTTAGGTTTATTGATAGATCCATACACTCACATTACTTGAGTTTCCTTTTCTGAAAATACTCTCTCTGTGGATTTCAAACATTCAGAAGCTTACATTACATGTGCATTTAGGGACGGTTTGAGGTTCATAGTAAAGAAACTTTTTAGCAGAGGTTGGAAGAGAGGGTGTGAGAAGAAAGAGGGAGTGGGTGAGCAAAATAGGGAGAGTGAGGGGAGAACACCAAAAAAAGAAGAGCAAAACTGGAAGGATATAGAGGATGTTGGCTGGTTGTTCTAGTTCCACATTGTTGTCACCTAGGAATAGATTGAGAAGTGAGTCAGCAGCAGCACAGTTTCCAGCTTGTCATTTCCAGTTACCATCAATGAGCACACAGAGATTGGACTTACCATGTTCATTCTCTCGGAAAGAGTCCACAAGATCACAACCCATTAGGCCTGTTGGAGTCGTCGGCCTTTCAGTTGACAACAAGCCACTCGAATCCAAGACCAGCGGTTGCTCTCTTAGGCAGACCATCCGGCTCCCTCCATTGGCAACAGCAGCAGCTCATCAATCAGACTTCAAGGATGAGTTTTGGGACAGAAGAGGTAACAACAACTCGAGGAAGAAGAAGAGGTTTGCAGCAGATGACGACGAGTCTTGCAACATCAGGGCCAAGAGGAAGAAAGGTGAGTGCACTGATGTTCATGAAGGAGGTGGTGATGGTTTTAGATTAGGCCAGTTTGGTGTTGCAAATTTCTGGTTTCAACCAAGTTTACTTCAAGTCCCTAGAGATTCACAACTTCCTTTCTCCTTGACATGTTCAGGGGAAGATGAAAGGGTGTGCTATGTCCCTAGTGAAGTGATTACACCACCTCTGCAACCGTTGTCCAACAACAACCCATGGTTTGACTCAGTTATAACTGAGATTACTCGCATAGGGGAGAAAGACGGAGAGAGCAGCCAAATCCCAGTGAAAGAAGCTTCTTCAGGTTCTAGTCCTTCATCCGAAAGTCAAAGCTTGGGGCTTAGGTCACTAAGTGAGAATGTTGAGGAGCATGAAGTGGGCAATGGCTTAAGCAATCCTCACCATCCACAGCCAGGAGCAACTGCCGATGCTGCAGCCGAGGACGATCAGCAAGTAGAGTATCGGGGTTTCGAGTTAGTCAGCTTGCTCACATCATGTGTTGAAGCAATCGGGGCAAAGAACGTTGCAGGAGTCAACCATTTCATATCCAAGATGGGGGAGCTTGCTTCTCCGAGGGGAAGTTCGATCAGCAGGCTGAGTGCTTACTACACTGAAGCTTTGTCCCTCAGGGCTACAAGGATTTGGCCACACATATTCCATCTCAATACCCCGCGCGACCTTGGTCGGGTTGAAGATGATTCAGGCACCGCATTAAGGCTTCTGAATCAGGTGAGCCCAATTCCAAAATTCATTCACTTCACTGGCAATGAGGTTTTGTTGAGGGCATTCGAAGGGAAAGACAGGGTTCATATCATTGACTTCGACATCAAGCAAGGTCTTCAGTGGCCTAGCTTGTTTCATAGCTTGGCATCCAGAGGTAACCCACCCAGCCACGTTAGAATCACGGGTGTAGGAGAATCGAAGCTGGAGCTAAACGAGACTGGCTACAGGCTAGCTGGATTTGCCAATGCGCTGAACTTGCCATTCGAGTTCCATCCAGTTGTTGATAGGTTGGAAGATGTGAGGCTATGGATGCTTCATGTAAAAGAAGGAGAAACTGTTGCAGTGAATTGTCTCTTTCAGTTGCACAAGACCCTGTATGACACCAATGCAGTAGCAATGAGGGATTTCCTGGGATTGCTCAAGAGCGCGAACCCAATAGTGGTGGTGGTGGCAGAGCAGGAAGCAGAACATAATGGCCTCAGCTTGGAATCCAGAGTGTGTAATTCATTGAAGTACTACTCTGCAGTATTTGACTCCATTGATTCTGGCCTACCATTGGAAAGTCCAGTGAGGATGAAGGTAGAGGAAATGTTTGCAAAGGAGATCAGGAATATAGTTGCTTGTGAAGGGATTGACAGGCTTGAGAGGCATGAGAAGTTTGGGAAATGGAGGAGCTTACTGGAGCAGGGCGGGTTTCGGTGTAATGGTCTCACTGAAAGGGAGTTTCTACAGGGGCAGATGTTGTTGAAGATGTATCCTTCTGGGAGCTATGGAGTTCTGAAGCAGCAGCAAGGGCAGGATGGCGGCAGTTTGGCAGCAGTCACTCTTACTTGGTCGGAAGAGCCGCTCTACACAGTCTCAGCATGGTCACCTGTGGACAACATTGCGGGAAGCTCGTCTTCATTTTCTCATCAACCTTAGTTTGGATCTTTTCCTTTATACCATACAGAAAAAGTGACACAGAAATTCTTTGTAGGTAACCAAAAAGCAAGTCAGTTATTGCTATTATTATTCTTTCATTCTTTTCGTTTGCAAATATATAGCTTTTGTCAGTCTGAGATAGTGCATCAAGAACCACATTTGTTTGTATGAATACAGATAGCTTGTCACATACTGGATTCAGAGTCCTTTTGTCAGTCGTCTATAAGAATAGGAAGTTCATATGAATTGTTTCATTCTTTGTTATGTACTGAAGAAACAGATACGTGCAGTTAAGGTCATCATTCATTCACACGAGTTCATTCAAATTCTGTGAAATATATAATAAAAGTTCAGCATATTTGTCTTCTTTTCTCTTTCACTCTTCTCTTGCTGCGCCAAAACACTGGAGATTATTACACAATTTTCAGTTTTTGCTTCTAGGAATGAGAATAAGAGGCTCTTCTTTTCTCAAGGTTAAACCATATTTCTCACTCATATCTATGTCAGTTGGGTTCTTCCTTCCATGTGGAAGTGACCAATCAAAGAAATGGATCAAAGAAGCAACAATTAAGGACACATGTCTTGTAGCCATGGTTAGTCCAGGGCAAATTCTTCTCCCTGAACCAAATGGTATGAACTCAAAGTCATTCCCTTTAAAGTCCAGACATGTGTAGTTTAAGAACCTCTCTGGATTGAACATCAATGGCTCTTCCCAGTACTTTGGGTCTCGTCCGATGGCCCAGAAGTTCACCAGAATCTGAGAGTTCTTTGGGATGCTATGGTTCATCACTTGACAAAATTCAATGGCTCGATGTGGGAGCAGGAATGGCCCTGGAGGATGCAGCCTAAGGGTTTCTTTGAAACAAGCTTCTAGATATGGTAGCTGTGTTATGCATGATTCTTTGATAAACATTTCTTGTTGGTCCATTGCAGGTGACACTTCCTCTTCAAGTTTTCTCATGCACTTGGGATTCCTTATCAGCTCTGCCATCATCCACTCAATTGTTGAGCTGCTGGTGTCTGTTCCAGCTGACAGTAGCTCCTGCAAAGTTCACGATGAGAAGAAGTATAAAGATGAACAAAACATCCAGGTATTAAATGGTGACCAAACCGGGTTGTGGTCTGATGAGTTGTTAGACGGTTGGGTTATTATTTAGTTTACCACCCTAAATGGTTAAAGGAGGGACAAAGAGAATCAAACCAGAAGCAGGACATTGATTTGATCATCACTTGAACCATTCTTCAACAAAACGTCGAGAAAATCTTTGCAGCTATCTTCTCTCCCCATTCTCCTCCTTTCCTCAATGATATCCTCAGTCAAAATCCTGAAACAACTCCTGTGTAACTCCATCACCTTCTTCCTTAAACCTTGGAGGTCGAACCAGCTCAACACTGGATAAAAATCGGACACATTTGGAGTCGTGGCCAGTTCAGCAATCTGGTTGAGAACCGAACTCATCCTCATCATGCCACCTTCACAACTCCCACCCTCCATAGAAATCAAGTCCCTAGACACCAGAACACAGCTCAACATGTTGAAAACAGTAGCAGTCACAACTTCTCTAACTATCACTTCCTTCCCTTCTCTCCTCCTTATGAACTCAACCATCTCCCTCGCCTTCCCCTCTCGAACCAACAAATTGTTCTCCAATGCCTTGGCCGAAAAAAGCTCTCTTTTGCATAGTGACCTCAACTGTCTCCACTTGTCATTGCACTCGACAATCCATCCTATCGAGAACTCGTTGAGCTCGAGGCTCTTGTGAGGAGACATGTCAGGGACATACCGGCCTGATAAGGATCGATCGTGGGTTCTGAGTATTTCAGTTGCTGCAGCCTTCGACGAGGCTACTACGAGTAGCTGAGTGCCAAGTTTGAGCGAGAAGAGAGGGCCGTAGGTTTGGGAAAACTTGGTTAAGGTGATGTGTGGCTTGGTTCCCAGCTGGAAAATGTTGCCTATGATTGGCCACTGGTATGGGCCTGGAGGAAGTGGGAAGGAAGGAGAAGAAGTGGGTTTCTTGAAGTGCTTGGTGAACAGAAGGTAGAGAAGTGGTAATGATGCTAGTAGCATGAGAATGGCAGGGGAGAAAGAAGGGGTGTTTGCTTCAGATGATGAACAATGAGTTTGATTGTGAGCCATATCTGAGAGAGTTTTGGATAACCAGAAGGAACAAAGGGTTTTTCAGTTTACAAAGAATGTGTGATGAGGTTGGGGAGATTATAATGCAATGGTTTTGTAGAGCAAAACCTTTTCCACCATATTCTGTGTTGTCCCTCCATTGTTTTCTGGATGCTACTACATTCTTTTCTCTAGTGATGCATCACCAGTTCCACTGTTGAAAGCACCTCAGCTAGTTATCTTGTGACATTATAGTCCATGTGTTATGTGATTGTATATATATATGAGAGGGAATGGCTTTGTTTTTTCTAATTATATATAGGAATAGGACAAGGAATTTATTGGATTTGATGGCTACATTTTGGCAATGGGTATAGTTCTGAGACAGTAAGGAAAACTGCATATCTGCATTATATGCTTATTGTCAAATGTGATAGTTTAGCTTTCTTGATGTGTGTCCAGAAAAGAACAGTTTCCATACAATGAATTTGGAAACCTAGTGGAAAGAAATTATATATACTTTGTAATTTATAGGTTAGAGAAAATCACAAAAATTAACAATATAATCACACGCTAATTATATTGTTGTTGCTTAATCAGCAAAAAATACACATAGGATCAGATAAGATACGCATGAATTAGGTCAAGATTATTATCACTAATTTTAAGTTTGATGTGGTGCCACCAAAGCTTTTTTTTTAGTTGCCAAAGCTTTTTTTTTGTTGTTAAGAGCTTTTCTCTTTAATGGTGAAAATGCCCAGTGAAATTTGAAAGAACATAACACACGGCGGCAAAGTTGCCAAACGGGGTTTGACCAAATGGGCAAATCTTTCGTAATCAGTTGGGCTTGGAAGGCCAGGCCCATCTTAACATTAGTTTGGACCCAGGCCACCCACTTTCCTGGTTTTTGGAGTTGGACGAAATAAGTTTATTGCGATGGGTCGGACCAACCGGTTCATCCGTGGAAAGGAAGTTACTGCAGTTCGACCGGTTATAAATGTTCCGGGCAGGAAAGGAAAGTCGAAGGCAAAGGAGGGAAACTAATCCCTAAATTTGATTCATTGATTCCTCATCGCCAAAAGCAACACAGAGCCGCCGCCTCTATCGCTTTTAACCTCCTCCAGTCTCCGGCGACCCGTCTGCTCCGCCATCCATCTGCTGCATCACCCTCTCTCTTCCGTATTCCCATGGTCTGCCAATCAGAAGAGATCTTTTGACGACTCTAAGCCTTTCCAGCTGCGGCACACCTGCGGCGACAGCGATTAATTGTTACGTGGCGAGAGAACATAAACCCTAAGGAGAAGGCGACCAGCCCTATCAACGTTCATTTTATCATCGTCGAGCAAAGAAATATCTAGGGAGAGAAGCCTCTGTCAAAACTGCCAGCTCTTTGTTCTTGCTGCTAATTCAGGTAGATATCACTTTTCTGGTTTCCCATTTCATTTTTTCCTCCTGTCCCGCTAATCTTATTGTAGTAGCTCAGAAATTACAAGCCTCTATTGAAATTTTAGCATTCCTGAGATGATTAGCTAGAATTGGTAGAGAATAAAAGAAAGACAGAGAGAAGGCGATTACATTTCGCTTACATAATGTATTGTTATGCTGTTGCAGGTCTCTGAAATAATTGATACTAGCTGGTATCTTATCGGGCTCGTGTTGCTTCCTCATAAACGATGGTATGGGCGCTTTGATTTCGTATAGAATTTAGAGATTTTGTATTCGAACTAGATGATGGGTATGATTTGTTTGATTAAGCTTGTTTGTTCTAACTTTGAATGGAGTTTCTCCGAGTTCAAATTAGGAGATCCTGTTATAGATAGATAGACAGAAGATATTCATCAGCACCTCCTCAAATATATTTTGAGTTCTCACTTAAGTTGAAGGGCCAAGTTGCAGGGTCCAATTTCCAGTTAGATATGAGGCCTATGGCTTGACTTTTCATTGCATAATTGTAGTTATGATTGATTACTTGCATAAATTTTCAAGGCACTATGTAAATACTTCTCTCTTCTTTGTTAATTACTAATCACACCCATGCAGTAACTTATCAAAAGAACTACTTGTTAGGCGTTACCCTTGTGTTGTCATCCTCTCAAGACACTTAATGAACCAACTTTGAAATTAGGGGATGTACCAAAATCCAAAATGTGGACTTTTCGACCCTGCATAGGAGCCATTAGACCTATTGGTAACCTATAGAAAACTGGGCTTGTGTTATAGTTTCGGAGAAATAGTAGAGTGAATGTAATTCTGTCATATAAGTGAACTTTCTTCTGTTTAATTTACTGCCAACTTTATTTTAGCGGGAGAGGAATAGTGTATTTGTTGCTATAGGGTATAGGCGCTGTGTGCTTTCAACTAGCTAATTAGTATGGGCTAACTCTTATTAAACATCATACATTTCTTGTCTTCATTCGCATGCATTTCAGACTTTGTATTTAGACCTTTTCTTGTTTCCGTAGCTCTAGTTTGAAGTTCCTATTAGCTCACATTTGTAAATAGATTTTTGGAATTCTGATTCGTGCGGGCTGATTATGTGTTTTTTTCCCCTGCCTTTCATGCTTTGAGGTATGTACCCATTTACAAAAATATGATTCGTCTCTGATGTATTACTATTTTTTTTTTTATTTCAGGCTGGCAGAATCATTGCAAATTTGATTGTGGTAGGCTCTGGGGTGTTGGTGAGGGCATTTGCTCAGGCTTATCGTCAAGCGCTTCAAAGTATGCGTTTGTTCTTTTAGTTTGCTGTTCCCTTATCTTTATGGGGCTACTCACCTTGTGATCGATGACAGATGCTTCGAAGAACGGTGTTGCACGTGAAGCAGTGGAGAACATGAAGAAAGTGAGTAAGGCGATGAGCGAGTCAGAGGCGAGGCAGATTCTAGGAGTTTCCGAAAATGCATCATGGGAAGAGATTATAAAGGTATGAAACTGAGGTCACCATTATTTTTCATGGAATCATGTAAACCATGATCGTTTAAACCTAATTAGAGGTTGATAATTATTGCGTGCAGAAATACGATTCATTGTTTGAGAACAATGCCAAGAATGGCAGCTTCTACCTGCAATCCAAGGTGTTCAGAGCTAAAGAATGCCTAGAAAGTACAGTCAGGAAGGATGGTGAAAAAGTTATGAGCTGATGAAGTTTTCACTCTTAATGATCGTCTCCAACCTGCAGGTGCACATATACTTAGAAAGACGCATTAGCTCAAAAAGTTTTAACTGTGATATGGGTATGGAATGTTGAGGATCATCTAATCCCATGACCATGGCAGTATGCCAGTATCTTTTTGTTACAGTTTGAACTGTTAGCCTAACGGTTTGGCTGGCACTCAAAAGAATAAAGAAAGCCGATGTGGAGTTCTTTTGTTGTTGTTGTCGTCGTCGTCATTAGCGATATGGGCTTTCCACCCCCTATTTCAAGTGGTTGGTGTTGGGCCTTCTTGGATCTCCTTTTGCTACTTGGGCTTGTAATATGCCTTCTCTCAGACTGTCTGGTTGGATTTGGATCCATTTCTGCTTCCTTTTTTTCCACTCATGATTACACGAGCTCCTTCTTGATGAAATCTCTTAGCACGATTCCTTGTCATTGAGTTGTCCCACATGGAAGCAACTAGCATGGGTCACAATTGGGTTTGGTGTTGGGATGTCCTTATTAGGGATGGCAATTTACCCACCCATGGGTAATTTTGCCCAAACCCAAGTAGACCCATTTATTATGGGTAGGGTTTGGGTGATGTGTGTATGAGTTTGGGGTTTGTATATGGGTTTGGGTTAGATATGGATATTATCTAAATGGGTATGGGTTGGATATGGATATCCATTTACTTGAGGGTGTTTTAACTACACATGCAAAAATTGGACCTATTTGTAAAACTTGAAAAGTTTAGGTACCAAAATGTAAGACCAAAAAAATTTAGGTACCAAAACGTAATTTTCCATCGATATTTTGAGGACTTATATGCAAAAAAAAATTAAATTTAAGTACTAAATATGCATATCTATTAAGTTTAGGTACCAAACTGTAATTTGTATTTGGGTATGGGTACAAACCCAAATCCATTTGTTATAAACCCAACCCAACCCAAAGTAAATGGGTATGGGTACAAACCCATCAAACTTTACCCATATCCATATATTTGGATTTCATACCCAACCCAATTGGGTTGGATAGTAAAATACTCATGGGTATGGGCAAAATTGCCATCCCTAGTCCTTATCGAGTCTCATTGTGAACCTTGCCTTTCACACGACCGAACAAAACACATTGAAGGAATCACCACATTGCTTGGAAAAGGTTGAAATTAGGATTGCTTAGCATGTGTACGACCGCGCGACGAACGAATTAGTTTATGGTTTCACATAATACCCCACTATTGAAGTTGGAAGTCGGTGCTCACCAACTTGAAAGAGCCCATAGAATATAGGCATGGTTTTAGGGAATGAAAAACTAGGAAAAATATTTGTGGTGGAAGTACGTATCTTGATAGATAGATAGATATTCTTCTATATACGAACAAAGTAGTGTAACGAGTTGGGTGAGTGGTCCGCTAAGCAACGAACCTAATTGATTCGCTGGCTATATCCCTTTCGGCAATGAAATGATACCATACTCTTTCTATAAACTTGCTCGCTTTCGGTGGCCCACTGGCCCTCCACAATCCATGACCATAGACCGTGAAATGCAAAAGTAGAGTACCAAAGCAAAGAACAGGCTGCCCAGCAGCGACCTTTCAAGCTTTGACAAGGCTGATGATTCATGTCCTCTACGTACATTTCTCCCATGAAAGTGGCTTCTTCAATAATATCCATATAAGAATCTAATCAGATGAATGACTGGACTAGTAGAATCTCATCAATATAAGAATCTAATCAGATGAATGACTGGACTAGTAGAATCTCTAAACCAGTTACAAGAATTTGGTTTATTTAATTGGATGGTTAGAGATAGACCCAACGTTTTTTAACAATTTTGACATGAAACTAGATGAACCATTTCGATTTGACTGGTTCATACAGAAAATAAAAGAAAAATGTATTTTATCGTAAACTAACATCATCCAACTTTAATCAATAATTTATTTATGCTTCCTTTCATTCATTTTCTAGCCTCCTTGTCAGCTTTACGTGATCCACTATGAATTGCCACCCTGATTAGTGATTACTAAATTGAATTTAATAAAAAAAGTTTGATTTCCTTTGTGAAATAGTTTGAATACTCAGTAAGAACTTTTTGTAGATAGATGATATGGATGCGATTTTTTTTTTTTTTTTGATAATGGTGATAGATTAAAGCTGAAAAAACAAACCAACAAGTCTGTACATACCTCTGTTATCGCAAGGAGCGATCCCAAGAGGTCCAGAAACGAAGAAAGAGAGCAAAACAGAAAACAAAATACAAAAAGAAGCCAAAGAAGGAAGAAAGATCCTGGGAGAAATCTATGAAACAACCAGATCAAGGAACCAAAACAGAAAAAAGTCACCTCCTACCAATTCTCCCAAAACCTGACGCAACCACAAAAAGGAACAAAAAACAACCTGAACCCACGCAGGCATGGGGAGGACAAACACCCACCCGTCCAACGCCTCCTGTGCAACAATCCATATCAGAATCCAGCAAGAGTCTCCCGCAACCAAGTTTCGCCCTGCACCTTCTCCATTTTACCATGAGCCACCAGCCATTCCATCGTGTACCTCACCGCCCTTTTTGCCACCACGATAGTCGTCGTTGATTTCTCTTCAAAGACTCGATGGTTTCTTTCCAACCACACCAGCCACCAAACAGCATGGAGGATGCAAGCTTTAAACCAGCCATCAATACAGTTCGGCGCTAGGTGTGGACAGTTTTTGATAATCGATCGTATATCTCCTCTTTGGAAGAACACTCCATGTCTGGTGCGATTGATATGGTTCCAAACCTCCTTCACAAACTGACATTCACTGAACAGATGGATGGAAGTTTCTTCTTTGATGTAGCAAAGATAGCATCTGCTCGCCAAAGCCCACCCCTTTTTCTTTAGATTTTCCGCCGTGAGGATTCTGTTATGGTAAACTAACCATATAAAGAAACAAATTTTGCTCGGCACCACGTTCTTCCATATTTGATTAGTTGGGAAGTCATTCGAACCTTGCCCTTCTTCCTGCATCAACATCTTATAACAGGAACTAACAGAAAAACTCCCATTTATATCCGGATTCCATATTACTCTACAAGGGCTGCACAACTTATCATTCAGCTCTAAGGAACCTAGGAGATGTAATAATTCCAATCTTTCCCTCTCCGCTCCCCCTCTCAACTCAAAATTAAGATTTAAAGACCAGATAAAAGACTCACCATTATGGTTAGTGATAATTTCAGTCATAAATTAGTGTGTTATATATACATGTCTTTTATGTTTGCGGGAATGATTTTGTCAACAATTGTTAGTGTATCAGTTACTATCGTTCTTGACTTGTATGCAATCAGTGCCATCTCTCAACCTTTTAATTAGTGAATCCTTGGTCTTAGGTTGAATTATGGAAGCGTAGTATTTAAAACTTATAAGCCATAAAAGTAGAACATAGTTGTTTCCAACTCGATCATTGGGTTCAATGTTTGCTGAACGTACATGGATACCGTAAAGAAAACTTGGCAACGACCAGCCAGGTTTCACGTTGACCCTAAACTGAAAAATTAACTCTCCTAACGTCGTACGCTTTCACGACATCTCCGTACGTACGTAGAATCAAGCAGCTGTCCTTACTTCTCTTCTCATATATAACTGCTCCGACAAAGGATCAATTCAGTACTCTTACTCTACAGCCGTACCAGCTAGCAGCGTACGACGATGAACTGAAGCATCTCTAGTACGTGAACTCCTAAAACGTAGCAAATCTCTGGTTGTCACTCTCGCTGCTAAATTGTGAGCCTCTGAATCTTATTATCGTCTGTTTGTTGTTTTCGGGTGCGCTGTCGTACGTTGTGCCTGCAAATTAATTACACGTACGATTGTACAACGTCAGTAACCATATTCTTTCAGTTAACCTTACTTGGAACTCGAGGACCAATTCATTAGTCTTTTGAAAAGTGCTCTTGTACGTTGTTCTGGATTGATAAGTTTGACTACCATGACGCGTACAATTGTCCAAGGTTGTTCATAAAAGGAATGTCGAAAACAACCGAATGGATCGGAGGAGCTCCTGGTTTTGGAATATTCTCACGTTGCACATATATTATATGTGCATGCAATGGTTAGTTTCTGGGGGTTCTCCAAACAAGTATTAGATAATTAGTTTCGAATTGCAACTAATTATAGCTCTATGGGCGAATAACCAGTTCAACATCCGTTGATTGGATGCTAAACGTACCGTGATTTAATTAAATGCATTAATCATTTCCACAAAAATATTATCTTTGGCCGCCTTCCAATCCAATCTAAACAACCATTTGGAACTTATTATAGATTAAGTTCACATGAGTCAGCCATTTGTTTCTAAGAATATGAATTCTTCTCGTTTCCATTTCTGGGATCACAAAAAAAAAAAACTCATCCATTGTGAGGTTTGAGCACTGCATGATCGATCTCGGCAACAACAAAGAATTCAAGTCGAGCATTTTCACTGGTGAAGTCAAGATCAAAACTGAGTGAGAGGAGGGGCTAACATAATATATTATGATAGTTTCCAATATAAAAGCAATACTGGATTCATAGATTTTTAAGGAGGGAATTAATTTATAACCCTTATCCATCGGCATTTCAATATTTATATACATGGCATTGTAATCCAAAATCGAATATACTAAGAACGGGACTGTAATCTATCTCGAACTATACGTGCCTCCATCACGAAACATTCTCAAAACCATATATATCCCTTATGGCGTCATTTCCTGTTCGCTGAGTATCTCATGGTGAAATCAAACATTGTCTCTCTTTATATGTAAGAAGCAATCAGTTTGTCTTGCTTTGAATATGTTCCTCATCAATGCATCATGCATCCAATATTGTTATACATACATACACACATGAAAACAGTTGTAACATATATAATTGAGAATTTCAGTCAAATAATTGTTAAGCACTTGTATATTTTTTGGCAATATTTGAGCTCCAAACCACACTAAATGATTCTTATAAGCACTACCACCTCTCAACAAAGAATAAAACCCTACTACCTATACCTCTCTCCAATTATCGATCATCTTCTCCTAATTCAGCTATTTATGGCATAGATCCAGATTAATTGAAAACCGATTAGTACACCTCACCCATCAAATATGGACACAAAACTGATCAATTGGGGGAAGAAGCCAAGATCCCTTATAATTTCTCCATAACCCCCAATTATCAAAATTCAAAAACCAACCTTCGCTAATAAAAACAACACAAAACTGTTCAAATTCCTCGCTTTAATCATCATCATTTAGCCCACTAATTAGAACACTTAACCTTACATGCTTTGTCCCCTCTCCTCCTCAATCCCTTATCCACTCTCATCATTAAAAAAAACACTACATGGCTTCCCCTTAACCTAATACATAATTACATATGTGGTCGAGCATGCTTGTGCTGACTCAGACACACGTCGTAAGGG